TGACGTGTAATTCTGCAAGCTTTTGAGCTCACACAGGACTCTTCAGCAGGTAGACTAGGAAGGCATTTAAATGCCCAGCTGTTCAAAAACGCCCAAGTTAATTTGGGGATCAGATCAGCACTTGAGCTTCCCCTGATGCTTTTTTCTATAGTCTATTGCTTGACTCACTTGCTTGAGATTTGGGAAAGGGCCATTGCTGAAGTGGTAGAACATCTGCTTTGGAATCAGAAAGTTCCAGGTTCAAATCCCTGGCAGACCCATGTAAGGCAGAGGACAGAGAAGCCCCAGAAGCCGGTAAATTTATTTGGCAGGGGAGGTGGGCAGCATTCATGCCTTGGTAGTAGGAGGGGCAGAGCTGGGTTCTCTGGCACCCGGAGTGGCACACATGCCGTGCGTCTGGAGGTGGAGCGATCCACCCACAGGGCAGGGCGATCTGCCCACAGGCTGATTGACGTGGCTGCGCGATCCTCCCCTACAGAGAGCCAGGGGAAGGGGGAGAGTCGCAGCTTTGCCGCTCACCGGGGTTGGGGGAGTCGCAGGTAGGGGGGGCACCTACACCGAATGTCACCCCCCTTCAGGATGACACCTGGGGCGCCCCTGAGTAGTAGAGCACATACTTCTCAAGGTCAGGCCCCCGTCAAAGGATTCATACTACAGTGGTACCTTGGCTTACAGACGCTCCAGGTTACAGACACTTCGGGATACAGACTCCGCTAACCCAGAAATAGTACCTCAGGTGAAGAACTTTGCTTCAGGATGAGAACAGAAATCGTGCTCTGGTGGCACGGCGGCAGCAGCGGGAGGCCCCATTAGCTAAAGTGGTGCTTCAGGTTAAGAACAGTTTCAGGTTAAGAATGGACCTCCAGAACGAATTAAGTTGTTAACCTGAGGTACCACTGTATAGAAATGGGACGCGGGTGGCGCTGTGGGTTAAACCACAGAGCCTAGGACTTGCTGATCAGAAGGTTGGCGGTTTGAATCCCCGTGACGGGGTGAGCTCCCGTTGCTCGGTCCCTGCTCCTGCCAACCTAGCAGTTCGAAAGCACATCAAAGTGCAAGTAGATAAATAGGTACCGCTCCGGCGGGAAGGTCTTACAAGTTAATAATATAAACACTATAAAAACAACAACAAAACATTGACTTCCACCAGTCCCACAGCACCTCCTTTATCTCTCTTTGTGTCTTCCTGTTTTTACTGTTTTCCTTATCATCTCTAGCCTAACATGTAGATATAAATCCCTTTCTTATCCTTTCACTTCACAAGGTTATTCCAGACTCAGCCAGATTTCTGTCCTCGAACCTTGACTTTTGAGGTATTCATTTAGGCACTCCCATTCTTTTTTTACTTTACTTTTTGGTTTTTGTCTTATTATGTCTGTCAATTTGGCTAATTCTAAGTATTCTGAAAGCTTACATAACCACTTAGAATGTGTCCTTTTATTTAAAACTCATCTCTGGGTTATTTGTGGGGCATAGGAATTTGTTCATTTTTTCCTTCAAAATATAGTCCGGCCCACCACATGGTCTGAGGGACGGTGGACCGGCCCACAGCTGAAAAAGGTTGCTGACCCCTGCTATAGAGTATCCTGTAAGAATGACACCACCGTTCCTTTCCTTGGTGTGTTTGTTTTCCAGTTTACCTGCTTTGCTCTGAGATCCACCTTCCCTGAATTCTGCTTTCAGCTAGAATCCCCACAATTAATTTTGGAATTGGGCCATTTAGAGATCGACAAAGCAGAGGGAACGAATCACTGAAAGAAATGGACGAAGGCGGGACACGGACTGCATAAAAATGTGCAGGCGCTAATTTATACGGATAGATGCAAATATGAAAAATAATCACTACAGTTTGAATAGAGATGCAAGAGACATGCCTGCTCAGTTTGCTGTTCAGGTATTAACTGTTGATGGGCAACTTCAAGGCCCTTCCTCTCTGCTCTTACGGTCCTTTAATCTGTCAACTAGACAGGACTTCAGATAGAAGACTCCTTCAAATACAGGACTGCCCTCTGTAGAGTAGGATGCATGGACCTTCCTGAAAAAAGGCTGCAGGTATTGATGCCTTTCTTCTGCTCATGTCATTTCCCCCTTGCTCCCCATGGGCATTGATAAAACGCTGGGGAAAGTCATCCTAAGGTGATGTACGGTCAAGATTCCTTTGATGCAGTTTTACTGAGACGTACGTACACTGCAAGCATGTTAGTAAAGCATATCTTGAAAAACATCCTGATGCAATCATTATTTTTTTTAAAAAGTTTTTATTTATACTTTCCAAGTTTGTGCATTTCATTAGTATTACAATCAAATTAACATTTCAAAGTGTGACTTCCTTCCCCCTCTTTCTGCGGTTCCTTAAATTTATTTTTTAACATCTTCTGCAGATCCAAATTCAGTGCTTTTTTTCCTGGGGGGACGCAGGGGTACGCATACCCCTAAACATTTTGTGAATCTAAGTTTGGCCTCATTGAGGGGCAGTGTTTCAATATGAGTAGGAAAATGAGAGTACTCCTAAATTTAAAAAAAAATAAAATAGAAAAAAGCACTGTCCAAATTCATTTAATTTGCTCATTTAATTATCTACTTTAAAATATATATTCTTATGAAACTGCAGGTTATTACAATAATCCTGCTAATGTTTTTTTATCTGTTTGCAATTTATCTGTAAATATTCAGTGAACCATTTCCATTCTTTTATAAAAAGTTTGTTGTCTAGATTTCTCATTCTTCCAGTAAGTTTTGCCATTTCTGCATAGTGCGTAAGTTTTTGTATCCATTCTTCCTTTGCTGGGACTTCTGCTTTTTTCCACTTTGGGGCAAGTAACATTCTTGCTGCTGCAGTAGCATACGCAAATAAATTTCTATACAGTTTAGGTAGTTCTGTCCCCATACAGTGGCACCTCGGGTTACATACGCGTCAGGTTACAGACTCTGCTAACCCAGAAATAGTACCTCGGGTTAAAGAACTTTGCTTCAGGATGAGAACAGAAATCGCACTGTGGTGGTGCGGCAGCAGTGGGAGGCCCCATTAGCTAAAGTGGTGCTTCAGGTTAAGAACAGTTTCAGGTTAAGAATGGACCTCCAGAACGAATTAAGTTCTTAACCCGAGGTACCACTGTAAATCTCAAAATTTTGGGAATTGATGCAATCCTATTGCCAGATTGCTGACTGGGGTAAGGTATTCTGAGGACATAACACCAATCCTGGCATGGCTGTAATGGCCACCAGTTATATTTTGGACTACAGTGGTGCCTCTGGTTGAGACCGGGATCCGTTCCGGAGCCCCGTTCACAACCTGAGCAGAACGCAACCCGTGTCTGTGCTTGTGCGGGTCGTGATTCGCAGCTTCTGCGCATGTGTGTGACGTCATTTTGAGTGTCTGCGCATGCACGAGCGGCGAAACCCGGAAGTAACCCTTTGTGGTACTTCCAGGTTGCCGCGGGACGCAACCTGAAAAGATTTAACCCGAAGCATCTTTAACCCGAGATATGACTATAATTCAAAGTGCTGGTTTTGACCTATAAAGCCTTCTGCATCTCAGGGCCTCTGTGTTTCCTCACACATGAACCAATTTGAACTCGGTATTTAGGGTTGGGTGATACAATATACCTATGTATCATGATGTCTGGAATAAGGATGGAGCAATGTAGAGGCATTGGCTGGCTTCGCGGTGTCCCCCTCATCGTGATTATTGCCTGCTCTAGTGATTCCCTGCACCCAGCATGAGGTCAGCTGGAGCTGCAGGGAATGAGACACACATTGACTGGCTTCAAGGTTCTCCCCACAGCCTGTTAACTAGTCAGGGCTTCCCCCAAGGAATTATGGGAACTTCGTTAAGGGTGCGGAGATGTATTAGAGGGGCATCCTCTTTTCTTCTTCCAGAGATGAGGGATTGAATGTTATACTGCTCTGGGAATTGTAGCTCTGTGAGGGGAGCAGAGGTCTCTGTATTGTGAACACTGACTGTCAACGATTCTCCAGGATCCTCCCCCAGACCCACCTGGAAATGTTGGGGATTGAACCTGCACCAAAGCAGGTTCTCTTCCACTGAGCTATATCCCTTCCCTTCTACTAATCAGAGGCATTAACTCTATGATTGTATGTAATTGTGGTTATTTATACTTTTAAATTTGCTATATTGTTGTTTATTGGATGCTGTGAGCCGCTCAGGGCACATACAAACACAAATATGAATTAACAAAAGAATTCCCAGTGTTTGCTACAGTGTGACTGAGAAATGCAGTGGTACCTTGGTTCTCAAACTTAATCCGTTCTGGAAGTCCATTCCAAAAGCAAAGCATTCCAAAACTAAGGCGCGCTTTCCCGTAGAAAGTAATGCAGAATGGATTAATCCGTTCCAGACTTTTGAAAACAACCCCTAAAAGAGCAATTTAACATGAATTTTTTTATCTAATGAGACCATTGATCCATAAAAGGAAGGCAGTAAACAGTGTACTGCAATCACACAATTAATCAGTAGCTGAACTGGGTTCCACACAGTCACAAAAACAAAAAAGAGCCACAAAAACTCAAAACAAATAGCAAAAACAGCTTAACACTCAAAACGGAAATGTGGCACTCAAATTGGAAGTGTAACACTCAAAACAGAGCATGTTCAGCTTCTGGGAAAAAGTTAGCAAACCGGAACACTTACTTCCGGGTTTGCAGTGTTCGGGTTCCAGGTTGTTTGAGTACCAAGGCGTTTGAGAACCAAAGTACCACTGTACTGAGATAGATGATATGGTATAGCTTCTTGTGGTCTTAGTGTACATCATTTTAAAAGAAAAAATCAACCCATAGAACACTTAATGACATGAATAAAAGAAAGTGTGTGGGTGAGTTATGGTTGATCATTTTATTATTTTAAAAGTTGCTGTTTTGTTTTAGAGATTTTAGGTGGCTTACGAAACACAGCTTACTTTGTTTCTCTTTCCTGTTGTGTGTTCATTTAGAACTGGAATAACGCGACTGGGATAAGCGGCAAAGCCTGATCTCCACCAGCCATGGAAACCAGTCAGGACTCTTCTCTGTTCCTTGTGAACATTTTGGAGGAGCTGGATACCAAACAAAACTCTGTCTCCTACCAGGATCTCTGCAAATCGCTATGTGCTAGGTTTGATCTGTCCCAGTTGGCCAAGCTGCGGAGTGTGCTTTTCTACACTGCCTGCCTAGACCCTAATTTCCCTGCCACCTTGTTCAAGGACAAAATGAGGTGCAGCGTGAACAACCAGCAGTCGAAGAAGATCATGGTTGCGGCAGACATCGTGACGATATTCAACCTCATACAGATGAACGGCGGGGTGGCCAAGGAGAAGCTTCCTGTTTCCCGGGGAAAGATGGGGAAGAAAGAGTCTCTGGAGTCCTGCCGATCGGACACAGAAGTGTGCAATATGGTGGACTGCGTGCTCAACTGTGAGCTGAGGGATGGAGAATTTAACAGGGGGTATTCGAACAGGAGGTCGTCCAAATGTAGGAAAGGGGATTGCAAGGACTGCCCGCAGTTCGTACCTGCTTCCGAGCCCAACTTTCTGCTTGGGGTCAATAAGGAGATGAAAGGGCGAGCGGCTTCCCTCGACCGACTGCAGGCCTTGGCGTCCTACACCATTGCCAGCTCTCCCCCCTGCGAAATGCAGAGCACATATTTCCCCATGAACCTCGAAACTGAGTCTATATCTGACCAGGACTCCTTGCCCATCAGCGCGAGCATCAAGGAGGCGTTCATTTCGAATGACGAGCCGTTTGTGATGCAGTCGTGCGTGCAGAAGCGGAACATCTTCAAGGAGGACTTCCACAACCTCATAACCATTTCGCCCAGCTTAATGTCGCCCACTAGCAAAGCAGAGGATGAGCTCGTCGAACCTCCGGGCAGGAAAGAGACCTCCAAGCAGGCGTTTTTCAACCACAGCTTTGAGATGCCCTACAGCAGTCAATACTTGAACCCGATTTATTCGCCTGTGCCTGATAAAAGAAGGGTCAAGCATGAAAGCTTAGACGATCTCCAGGCTTCTACTTACTTTGGCCCGACGACCGTTCTCGGACCGCAAGAAACCAAACGGTGGCTGGGGAAGCCAAGTAAACAAACCCCATGGCCGGTCAAAAGCTGGAGTTTGAACACCGAAGAAGTACCTGATTTTGAAAGGTCCTTTTTCAACAGGAAACAGTCTGAAGAGAATCCACGGTACCAGGGTTCAAACAGCCAGCCTTCCAATTTCCCAGCCACAGAGAGGCGCCAGCCTTATCTCAACCCCAAGGATCAGCAGTCAATGATGCAGTCTGGCTACGCCATGAAACCGAACGGGCATAAACCCAAAGACATCCCCTCCATCTTGGAAGTGGAGAAACACGAGCCCATGAAGAAGTTTAAAGACAAGAGTATTAACTGCACCTCTATCCAGCTTCTCAGCATTGACAAAACGAACAGTGTTGGGACTCAGACAGACCAACAGGGGCTGGAACACAAGAAGTGCAAAGAGATGGTCCACCCCAGTCAGAATAAATACGGAGAGAGACATTCTCTTAAGCAGTCCGATGACGACTCTGAAATTGTCAGCGACGACATCAGCGATATCTTCAGGTTTCTGGATGACATGAGTATCTGTGGGTCTACTGGGGTGATGCAGTCGTCGTGTTACAACAGCACCGGCTCGCTTTCTCAGATACACAAATCAGACTGCGAAAGCTCCCCTGAACACCACTTAGCTAAAATCTCCAACGGCAATGCCGGCAACAAGCTGGAAAAAGTGTCGCGGCTGGAGATCAGCGGCACAGACGACGAGCTGAAAACCAGCGTCTGCAAACTGGTTCTAAGGATTGGGGAAATCGAAAAGAAACTGGAGTCTCTCTCCAGCGTCAGGGATGAAATTTCCCAAGTTCTGGGGAAGCTAAACAAGTTGGATCAAAAGATTCAGCAGCCAGAGAAAGTGAGCGTCCAACTGGATCTCAATTCCTTGACCAGTGAGGTTCAGTCTGAAGAAAGTACCTCGCCCAGGATCTTTTCGTGCCATAATTCTTCGCACGGAGGCAAACTGGAGAATAATCCGGACTGGTGTTGTTCGGATGCCAGTGGCAGCAATAGCGAAAGCCTCCGGGTCAAAGCCTTAAAAAAAAGCTTGTTCACCAGGAGGTCTTCGAGGTCACTGACAGAGGAAAACAGTGCCACAGAATCCAAGATAGCTAGTATATCTAACTCCCCTAGAGACTGGCGAGCTATCACATATACGAACCAAGCAGGCATTACGGAGGAAGATATGAAAGACAGGGGTGGAGGCGAGAACAAAGACTGGCACAGAAAATCCAAAGAGGTAATTTTTCAATTTCTGCTCAGTGAATTATATTTTTAACTTGACTGCATGAAAAGGATCTGGTGTAATTCGTGAAAGGCTCCGAGGATTACAGCATCTGCCTACTACTACACTACTGTTAGAATTGTTTTAATGAATTTCCGTCTGTTTTCTTAACCCACTTGTTTTTTTCTTCCCCACGGCAATATCCAGAATACATAAGGAGCTGCAGTCTAAAAACAACACCGATCGTATAATTTGAGATTGTCCCAAAACAACACTAGCCGCCCCAAAATGTAGATTTTTTTAATTTACATGGTATACTTAGAATCATAGAATTGGAAAGGGACCCCATGGATCATCCAGTCCAATCCCCTGAAATGCAGGAATATGCATCCATACGGGCATCAGAATCGCCACCTTGGCCGACTGAGCTGACCTGAAAGCAAATAGACTTGTATAGTTCATTTAACAGTTCAGTTTGCATGTTAATTCTTTACAGATAGGACTCACCTGTTGGTGAGAAATGCCTTTAAGAAGTGTATACTCACATGTGTTCTTCCTCTGTTTAGATATCTTTGTATTCTGACATTATTATTATTATTATTATTATTACTATTATTATCTGATGTTAGTCTATAATTATAGGGCCGCACTCATGGCCTTATGCTAAGGGTAAATTGGCTGAATTAAATCCCACCATTATAATGAGAAGTCAAGTTTCCCGGGGGTAGTTAGAAAATGGTTCATCGGACTGATTTGAAACTGGGCAGTGTAGGAGAGGCATTTTTCAGGATGGTTCAAATCAAATTTGGGGTAGAAGGGGTAAGTAATGGCTTATTCTGAAGAGGTTTTTAAAAAACCTAAACAAAATACCAGCTTCTTGATGGGTACCTTATGTTTTTATTTCTTAGACTTTGCTCAGGTGATTTTTCCAGAAATATTTCTCCATTTGTACTGCATCTTTTCTGTTAGGTCAAAGGGAATGCCTAGAGTGTGCTTTTGTCTAATAGTAGTGTAATATGTTTGTAGATTGGGTTAAAAATAAAAAAATCAAAAAGGCATTTTTGTGGCCAACGTTGGTCAATGGGATTTCATAAGGTTGTTCCTTGCACATGCTCAGTACGAACTTGTTGTGAGAGAAGGTTAGGTGGGGGAAAGCTGGATGGAGTGAGAATGTCTGTCAGACAGGTCAGTTGGAACATGCCAACACGGATGTGTGAAGGACAGAAAAGAACTGTGAGAGGGAAATGAAAGTTTATTGTTATTTTTAATTATAGAGCCACAGCGGTTAGGGGTATGTGTGTTGACTGAATCGTGTTCCTCCATTTATGATGAGAAATTGGAAGGGCGGTAGTAGGTTCTACGACTTACAGTTTGAGCATGTCTCAGTGGAATGATATGAAACTCAGCAGCATAGGAGAGACAGCTTCGAGGACAGCCCATGATGAATTTGAGGTGGCTAGGATAAGGAATGGCTTATTTTGAATGAATTCAGCATTTGGTGAGAGGCTTCAGCTTGTTGACAAGTTCTGTGCATTATTCTTTCATAGATTTTGCTGGGGTGGTTTTTCAGGGAAAAAATTTGTTTGTAGTGTGTGATTTGAGGAAACTAGGGATGGTTTAAAGATTAAGAGAGTATGTAACATGTGCTTGTCACATTGTGTAACATGTTTGTAGTTTGTGGGCATTTTAAAGAAGATCCTTCTTCTTGGTTGAGCGGTACAGAACTTTATGAGTATATTAAATAACTTATACAAATAACTTTCTTCTTGTTTTTAAACAGGCTTTAAAGTTTTTCTCGTTCACAAGGCTTTTATGAATGATTAAAGCCTTGCTTGCTCCTGTGTATACTATTATGCTTATGGGTTTTCTTTTAGTTATTTATCCTGTTTTGAATTGTAGAAGTTTTGTTTGTTTAGTTATGTCAGGTGCCTTGAGAATCTTTTTATTTTATTTCGAGAAATCCAAAGAAGAATGTTTCAAATTGTATATTATTTCAGAAGGTGCAAAATTGGTAGATTTGTATTAAAATGTGAACGGAGCCAAATTTCTTACCCTGTTCCTAGTCACTTTCACAGTCACTTCCTTCCGCACATAGCAGGCAGAGTTTTAGGGAAGAGATCAACCCTCCTTAGCCAGCCAACTGACTCACCTGTGTGGAGTTTCATGAGCTCTTCTGCATGAAATTCCTGGTTGACTAGGGGTGCATTCAGAAATGGGGAATAGTGCATGGGAAGTGGGTGGCGCTGTGATCTAAACCACTGAGCCTCTTGGGCTTGCCGATCTCAAGGTTGGTGGTTTGACCCCACGAAGGGGTTCTGCCAAGAGAACTTCCCTTCACGTTGCTCTGTCCCAGCTCCTGCCAACCTAGCAGTTCAAATGCATGCCAGTGCAAGTAGATAAATAGGTACCACTCTGGTGGGAAGGTAAACACCATTTCCGTGCACTCTGGCTTCTGTCACGGCATCCATTGTGCCAGAAGCGGTATAGTCATGCTGGCCCATTACCCAGAAGGCTGCCTGTGGACAAATGTCAGCTCCCTCAGCCTGAAAAGCGAGATGAGTGCCGCAACCCCATAGTCGCCTATGACTGGACTTAACCATCCAGGGGGCCTTTGCCTTTTTACCTTTAGTGCATTAAAGGTAAAGGGACCCCAGACCATTAGGTCCAGTCTTGACCGACTCTGGGGTTGCGGCGCTCATCTCGCTTTATTGGCCGAGGAAGCCTGTATACAGCTTCTGAGTCATGTGGCCAGCATGACTAAGCCACTTCTGGTGAACCAGAGCAGCGCACGGAAACGCCGTTTACCTTCCCGCTGGAGCGGTACCTATTTATCTACTTGCACTTTGATGTGCTTTTGAACTGCTAGGTTGGCAGGAGCAGGGACTGAGCAACGGGAGCTCACCCTGTCGCGGGGATTCGAACCGCCAACCTTCTGATCGGCAAGTCCTAGGCTCTGTGGTTTAACCCACAGCACCCCCCGCGTCCCTTAGTGCATTAGTTTTCCTGATTATAACAGTAGTGCTACTGCCCTGTTCTCTAATGTTCCTTTCACACTGCAGTACCTGTTGTGTTATGGAACTGTAGCTTATTGACCCATAAACCAGCATGTTGCATTGACTTTCATTCACACCACTAGACATGGTATGACACAACCAACATCACTGGACAACGTTTCTACAGAAGCTACATGTGTGCTTCTGTTCCTCCATAATAACGGCAGGAAAGAACTATATGCTGGTGTACTGCCCCAAATTTTGCCACTTTACTCCCACAATTTTTCCAGGTTAAGGGCTGCAAATGGTCCCCCCCCCCCATCAAATAACATAGAAATGAGCACTAAACAGGTATTGCATTCCAGTAGTTTTCCCATAAGTGGCTTCTGCGTTGTGTATAATGCAGAAATAAACAGCAAGGGAAACATTGGGGAAATGGAATAAACCAATAAATTAAAGTATAGCTTTGTTGTACTTCTGTTAGATCAAGGTCCTGAATGATGGGTGTGTATGTATATTTTGATTAACTGAATTGGCGGGCAAGTGTGTGTGTGTGTGTATGAAAAAATAGTATTTAGCTTATTTTTTAGTAGTAGTATTTAGGGCTGAGCGATACCTGGTTTTCAACAGCAGCTAAACATCATGATATAGTGATATAGCAGAATGTCTGAAGGGTTTTTCCTGCATCGTGATTTTTGCACAGCACAGAACACACACACATGTCGTGATTCACAATAAAAAATTATGAAACCAATATCACAATATGGACTTCAAACCAGTCTTGAATGATATATTGATATATCACCCAGCTCTAGGTGTAATACATATAGTAACCATTTTATGGATGATATATAATACGACTTGTGCTGTACCTGTGATGTTCTATTATGTAATTGCCATTTGTTGTTTGCAAGCCACTTTCGGATTTGTTTGAATGGAAAGTGGCATAGAAACACATTGAATGAAATTAAAAATGAATCGAATAAACAGCCATCTGGATGCAGCCAAGGCGACTGAGTTGTTGAGCACAAAACTCCTTTCTTTCCTTCTCTGAACTCCTTGTGCGACTCCCTGCAGGCAGATAGGCAATATGAAACCCCACACGCCCCAAGGCACTCCAAGCAACCCAAAGATGGCTTCTTGATTGAGCAAGTCTTCAGCCCCCACCCTTACCCAGCGTCGCTCAAGTCGCACATGAAGACCAACCCCCTCTACACGGACATGCGGCTGATGGAACTGGCGGAAGTGAAGCGGGCTCAGCCGTCGTGGACCATTGAGGAATACACGAGAAACTCGGGCGAGAAAGGAAAATTGGCCGCTCTGGATCTACAAGTGAGTCACGTTGGTTTCCACCGTGGGTGGCCTGTGCCAAAGTGGAACCTACCCAAAAGAAGGGGAAACCTGAATGTTGAAGGGTATAGAGATTCATATTGTCAGTAAGTATGTCAGACCCTCTAAGTGTCCTTGTTTTCCAAGGACAGTCCCGGATTTACAGAAGCTGTCCTGGTTTCTGATGTGATCCCGGAATGTCCCGCTTTTTCTTAAGACATCCCTATTTTCATCGGAGAAATGTTGGAGGGTGTGGAGTTATGTGACCCCCGAACCAAGGAGATACAACATTTAGAAAACATCTGAAGGCAGCCCTGTAGAGGGAAGTTTTAAAATGTTTAATGTTTAATTGTGTTTTATATATATATCGGTAGCCGCCCAGTCAGATGGATGGGGTATAAATATTATTATTATTATTATTATTATTATTATTATTATTACTATTATTATTATTATTATGGAATAGGACATCCCTATTTTCAACGAAGAAATGTCGGAGGGTGTGGTAGGTTTGGATTGCAAACCTGTATCTGAGAGGTGCGGGAGCTTTTTCTTCCTATGAGCTGCATTTCCTCGGGAGAAAGTGGTCAGGGTCTACATACCAGGAGTGGGCGGGGCCCATTCCCATATTAATTAATTAATTAATCTCTATACCTCCCTATACCTGAAGGTCTCAGGGTGGTTCACATAAAGCAGGCATCCCCAACCTCGGCCCTCCAGATGTTTTGAGACTACAATTCCCAGCATCCCTGACCGCTGGTCCTGCTAGCTAGGGATCATGGGAGTTGTAGGCTAAAAACATCTGGAGGGCCGAGGTTGAGGAAGCCTGACATAAAGGATCACATACATATAATCCAAATACAAACGACAACCCAATGGAACCGCCCTAAAAAGAGCCAGCATTTTAAAAAGTGTGTAGGATGTAAATCAGATCAGTCAAAGGCCTGGTTAAAGAGGAACGTTTTTGCCTGGCGTCTAAAGGTGTATAATGAAGGTGCCAGGCGAACTTTCTTGGAGAGAACATTCCACAGATGGGGAGCCACTGCAGAGAAGGCCCCGTTTTTGTGTTGCCACCCTCCTGACCTCTCAAGAGGGGGAACACAAAGAAGGGCCTCAGAAGATGATCTCAGGGTCTGAGTAGGTTCATATGGAAAGAGGTGGTCCTTGAGGCATTGTGGTCCTGAGCCGTTTAAATCACATTCCCTCCCTCTAGGGGCAGAGGCAATAATGCAGTGATATCAATTGCAGGAACCCACTGGAGGGGAGAGCGCTGTTGTGCTTGGCTCCTACTTGAGGATTTCCTCCTGCAGGCATCGGGGGGTGGGGGCGCTGTGAGAACAGGATGACTAGATGGGTCATTGGCCTGATCCAGCAGGTTCATCTCATGTTCACACAAATTCACACACATGTAAGATGTGCGCAGGTGTTCGCATGAACGCCTGAATGATCTCAAGTGTGGATTGGGGCACATCCTGGCTGCATGCCCAATGTCCTTGTGTGCATTGCCTGCCCCCACTCAGTCCACAGTCTTCCGCATGCCCTGGTCCTTGATCATTCAGAGAGTTCTACTAGCATTCAAAGGAACACAAGAAGAAGCCACACAGAGAGGTTCCTTGGACAACACAGGCAAGATCAGGGACCAAGCACGGAGAATAAATGTACACAAGGACATTGGGGTGGGCCTTGTGTGTGCCCCTGAACATGCCATACTTGTGTGTGAATTGGGTGTGTGCAGTGATAGGGTGTCCCATCATTCAGCCTGGTCCCTGAGGTCCAACTCCGAGGGCCTTCTGGTGGTTCCATCACTGCAGGAAGTGAAGTTACAGGGAACCAGGCAGAGGGCCTTCTTGGTAGGGGCGCCCTCCCTGTGAGATGCCCTCCCATCAGATGTCAAGGAGATAAAGAACTACACAACTTTCAGAAGACATCTAAAGGCAGCCCTGTATAGGAAAGTTCTTTAATGTTTTATATGTGCTGGAAGCCACTCAGAGCAGCTGGGGAAGCACAGCCAGATGGGTAAGATAATAATAATAATAATAATAATAATAATAATAATAATAATAATGATAATGTTGATCCCTTCTAGTTTTGGTATTTATTTGGTCTGCCCACTGCTAGTATGTACATCCTGACTACTTTGGACCATTTGCACGCTAAGGCGCACAGCTGACTAGATCTCTAAATCCACCCACACTACGTTCACTCACAACCCATTCTCAACACATTCACACCAGCTGCTTGGCTTCTATGCTACAGTGCATAGAGGGGGCTTCCTTTCTCAGCATGCAGTATGGAAATGTAGCAAGCTGCCCACAGAGATCAGGACCAGTCTCTTACTCCATGACAGCCTCAGCAGCAGGAGAGCAATGGAACAAGTCCATGCTAGATAGGATTTTGCAGTCTAGCAGCAAACCGCAGTGCAACAAGTTCCCCATCTCTCACTTTGCCTATTCTAAATCCTCGGAGCACGTCATGCATATTATAACTAGGGTTGTAGCGTTCAGTCAATTATCTGTTTTAGAAACTGACCAACTGGAGAGGTACAAATCAGCTAGCAGGGTTGCTGCTGCTTAAAAATGTTGATTGCTTTGTTTTTGTTTGTTAAAACTCATTTATTCAAAAGTTACAATGCAGCTTTGTCCCCTGCTGTAACATCACAGAATTCCTCAATCCCTCATCACTGTCATTTTGGCTCGCTGGATACCCTCAGTAGGAACCCAACAACCAATCTGATTTCAATTAATATATTAATTGTTTTTAATAAGATACTCCCTTCTAGGTTTGAGAAGACCCAGGGCAAAACACCGAAATGGACTTTGCATATGGCGGTCAGTAGTCGCACTCCAAATCAGCACCAGATGCCATTTTAATTTCCCACGATGCCTGGTGTTGAAATAGCTCTGCTCTGAGATGTTGTGTGGGAAGCTAAATTGACTGTTCCACACCACCTGGCCCAGGAGCCTCAGAGCTGGCAAATAATATTATGGTTGGTCCCTGGCAACTGACCGAGGATTACGAATGCAGGTGTCAGGTCTAGTCGGCCTACGTGGCTGGTAGGCTCCCTTCGGTTCTGTGGGTCGCTTGTTGTGCAGGCCTGCCCTCCCTCAGAATTTTACACATGAGTTGTATTTTAAATAGTAATTTCCCCACCACCACTAGATGCTTTTCGCAGTTTCTGTCACACACAGGTGGCAAGATTCAGGAATAAATCAGCCGTTCTGAGACCCAAGAGACTGGAGGGGTTAGAAGATTTCAGTCACAAGGTGTTGCTAGGACTTGACTTAAGGACATCTTGCAGTCTGTTTTTAGAGAGGCTGCCGAATTGAGAGCAGGAAGCATTGCAACAGGGGAGCGTGAGGCAGCCACTTTATAATAAGCTTTGTTTCCTTGTTTGTTGCAAATTTGAGAGCGTGGCGACAGAGGAAGCCATCTTTGGAAAGCTGCCTGTCAGCCTGAATTTTTAAGCAGATCCAGTACACTCTCTTTTTATATTCAGTGGATGCTCAGGTTGCAAACGTGATCCATGCGGGAAGCACGTTTGCAACCCGCAGTGTTTGCAACCCACAGAGCCGCATCTGCACAAGCATGGATCATGATTCGGCGCTTCTGCACATGTGCAAAGCACGATTTAGTGCTTCTGTGCACGTGAGATTGCCGAAACCCGGAAGTAACCTGTTCCAGTACTTCCGGGTTCGGCGTGGTGCGCAACCTGAAAACATGCAACCTGAAGCGTCTGTAACCCGAGGTATGACTGTACAGTCATACCTCAGCTCCCAAACGCCTCCCTTTATGTACGTTTCAGCTCCCGAATGCCGAAAACCCAAAAGTAAGTGTTCCGGTTGTCGAACATTTCAGAAGCCAAACGGGCTTCCAGAACGGATTAAGTTTGACAACCGAGATTTGACTGTAGAAGGCTTCAAAGAAGAATCACTTCTTGCCTGTGTCTGCTTCACTATCACTAGCCACGATGTCTATGTTTTGCCTCCAGTGTCAGAATACTGTTTGCTGGGAATCAAGCAGGAAGAGTCTCCTCACAGAACTATAATTCCCAGAATGGTTTAACAATCAAGCCTTCTTCCAGGGAACTCTGGGTGGGAATTGTGGTTCTGTGAGCAGAATGGTGGTTTCCTAGCAAACTTCAGGACCCTTAACAAACTACGCTTTCCCAGAATTCTTTGGGGGAAGTCGTGACTGTTCAAGTGATACAGCAGTGCTTTAAATGTTTTGAGTGGATGTGCGTATCCTTATTTAGAGCTGGAATTCAGAGAAAGAGAATCTTAATGGCTTTCTTCTTCTTTTTACTTTCCAGACTCAAGAATCTTTAAACCCCAACAATTTAGAGTACTGGATGGAGGACATCTATACCCCAGGCTATGACTCGTTACTAAAGCGCAAAGAAGCTGAATTCAGAAGAGCGAAAGTTTGCAAAATAGCTGCCCTGATTGCAGCCGCAGCCTGTACTGTTATCCTTGTCATTGTCGTTCCCATATGTACTATGAAATCGTGAATTTGACGATGGATGAATAAATCCATCCTGTAACATTTGCTCCAGATATTCCATTCAGTCTTTTAAATAATCACCTTATGGCAAAAATTGTAACCGTGAACAGGGAAGGATGCGCTGAGCGATCCCAGCGAGGGAGCATGTAAAGACATTTGGGGTTTGTTTTTTTTCTGTTTCTGTTTGTTTGTTTTTTTGTTTGTTTTTTAAAAAGAAGAGTCTTTTTAAAATAGCAAAGCACCTGGCAGACTTAACGCTAACTAGGTTTAAATTTTTACACGTTATTACAAGTGGAATTCTTTTCCTCTCTTTTCCCCCCACCCTTTGAAGAGAAGATGAAATATTTTGCAAGACTGGCTGTGGATGAAGAAAGAGGTTCCTCTCCCTCCTCTGTACCGAGAGAGATTTTATACTAAAGTTATCTAGACTGACTGCTAACCATCCTGTACAAATATGCATCTCGTCAGACAGATAAGAGCAGTGATACTGCACTCCAAAGTATGAACAACCTGAATGTATTTTTGTGCTGGTTCTGTTACGTATTCCTTGTTTGTCCAGTTTTGAAAGCAGATTGGTTGCCATGGGACGGATGCGTTCCTACATTTGGAATCGATAAGGGCTCTTTGTAACAAGGTCTTCCCCTCAGACCCTCCTTTGTTATCACTGAGTACTTTGGTGAAGCATCATCTGCTGTAGACCAAAAAGATCCAAAAGGGTTTTTTATTGCTTGCATTAATAATCACATTTCCCCCCCAAAAAGCCGGCATGTGCTTCCAGCCAAAAAAAGGTTGCATTGTTGTTGTTTTACCTCCACCAATGGCGTACAAATGTTGCTCTTTTGTTCCGTTCCAGGCATGGCGAAATCCAACAAATTCAGGAGGTGTCCATTGTTCTTCTGCGATGGTTGGAATGCTTATAACCAGAATGGTTGTAACTTTAGAGAAGTTTGCACAGTTGCTGTTGGTTTCTTGGTGTGGAGAGGAAAGGATCCATGCACAGGCAACATAATTCCTGGTGACATGCATGTTGTCTATGCAGTCCTATCACTTGTGCAATCGGTACACATGAGAAAGGCCATGTGCATGTGTCAGATGTTTGCGCATGGAGCTCCGACACATGAGGGCTAGTCTTGGACCCATCAGGATCCTCCATTGTGTGGAAAAGCTCTGTGCATGTGCATTGATGTGGCAGATATGCCCAATGTACGTATGGGTGGCGGGATCTAGCCGGTTCAGTGCATAGGCAGTGGGAGGCTGGCTATTGGCTGGATCCCCTGTCACTCTTCTCTGTTGAACTTGTGAGGAGGTTTGTCAGAATGTTACTTTCGCAACAAACATTTTGTGCCTTTTTAGAATGTAAACGAACAGGATGGGTCATTTGTGTTTTGTGGTGATTGGGTTGTCGTTGTCGTTTTAATACTTTTCATTTCATAACAAAGTCCTGCATCGGGCGGGCAGTGCAAATCCTGCATTATGTTTTTCAGATCTAGAACTAATACAGTATTTTCAGTGCATGCTTAAATGCACAAACCAAGAGTTGTCTCCAACTAGGTCCTGCTCAGAGTAGACCCACTGAAATTAATAGTCCTGCATTAGTCATGTTCATTAACTTCGGCGAATATACTCTTGAGTAGAAATAGCACTGGCTACAACTCCCAAGTGTTTTGGGAGAAGTATTGTAGAAAGATGCTGAGAGGCCTTATGGGATCCCCATTCGCCTCTACAATTCTCTGTGGAAAGGAATTGGTTGTTAAACCACCCTGTGGAGAACAGGGTTCTACTAACAACTCTCAGCATCCTTAATGAACTACAGCTCCCAGAATTCTTTGGGAGAAACCATGACGGTTTTAAAGTGGTATCACAGTACTTCAAATGTATGGTGTGAATGTGGCCTAACTTAGGTTCATTGTTTTTTGTGGTTCTACTGTGGATTCCTATTCCTCTCAGAAAGCTACATTTCCCAGAGTTCCCTGGGAAAGAGCATGAGCTGTTAAACCATTCTGGGAATTGTAGATCTGGGAGAAGAACAGTGGTCTCCTAACTACTCTCAACAGTTCCCAGGATTCTTTGGAGTTGGGAAGCCATGATTGAAGGGCAGTGCAGTGAACAGTGCAGATGGGACCATTGTTTTTAGGGTTGGATATTGCTTTCAGCTGTCTGTGGTAAGTGTTCCTCATATTTTGAAATAGTGGGTGCTATTTAGCCCCAACTACAGCTGCATATCATGCACCCATGCGCTGTAATGTTTTGACAGTGCTCAGATCAGCCCGGAAACAAAATGTCTCCTTTTGAAGCGATGACTCCTCTATGACGACTGTGAACCAACCAGTGTCTGGATCCGAGTGTGCAAATTTCAGCGTATGACGTTTGCTCTGCTTGTTTCTTTTAGTGCTGGCCAGTGTCTTTTCATGCACTTCTTCAGGTGGTCTCGCTTTCCAGGATATGGAATGAGTAAAACCTAAAGGTTGCTTCAGACATTGTGACAAGAGGCTGTGCATTGGGGAAACCACAGAATCAGGGTATGGTGTTTGTAGGGATGGGCAAATCCTGTCAATTTCAATTTCTCTCGCTTTCTCATTTTTCCCATCCTAAATTCACTTCAGGGACGCGGGTGGCGCTGTGGGTTAAACCACAGAGCTTAGGACTTGCCGATCAGAAGGTCGGCGGTTCAAATCCCAGTGACGGGGTGAGCTCCCATTGCTCGGTCCCTGCTCCTGCCAACCTAGCAGTTTGAAAGCACGTCAAAGTGCAAATAGATAAATAGGTACCGCTCCGGCGGGAAGGTAAACAGCATTTCTGTGCACTGCTCTGGTTTGTCAGGAGCAGCTTAGTCATGCTGGCCACATGACCCAGAAGCTGTCTGCGGACAAACGCCGGCTCCCTTGGCCAATAAAACAAGATGAGCACCGCAACCCCAGAGTCGGTCATGACTGGACCTAATGGTCAGGGGTCCCTTTACCTTTAAATTCACTTCTCCACATTGCTGCATCTGTTTATTTGCAAACATTCATCAATAGTTCAGTGTCCCCTCCTTAATGCACACATTTTTGATACAATTGTGTGTCATTTCCTCCTTTTTTGCAAGCAGTTCCCACTAAAGCAATGCATTTGTGCATATTACTTTCACTAAGATTGATCTCCCACTTCCCCCTGGTAGATGCATTTTGGCTTCCATCATTTGGTAGGAGAACTTCACTGCAAAATTCAGAGGAGTGGGAATTTTGAAGGATGGTTGCGTTTTGGTTTGCATACAGTTTTAGAAAGCACAGATTAGGTGTATTCACCTGCAAATGCAAAGCGAATCAGATTTCTCCCCCATCTTTAGGTGCTTAGGCCTCCAAAGCTTCTTCAAGTGTAGGAGGGAATAGGAATGTGCAGCAGAGGCTCCTGCAATTGGCAGGCAGTAAGAAACCCTGGATTGATTAAAACTGGGATAAGTACTAGGAGCCAAGTACTCCACACTTTCCTTACCTATAAGGTGTAAGGTACTGAATCTGGGTGCAGCCACACACAGTCCTGACCTGACTCTGACACATGGCTTAGGAAGGCCACCTACGCATTGCCAAAAATAAAATAGAGAACGCATCGCCATACGAAGCACAAAAGAGGACACTGATCTGCATCAGGTTTCCCACCACCACCACCACTTGATAATTTATACGCAGAGATGCCAGTTTGGAGAGAATTGCTATAATTTAAGTAGAAATACCATGCATCTCAGCATAATGAGGGAGACTGTGATCAGGAGACCCATCTGCTTGCTCAGTCTGCTGTCCAGATGTTAACTCTCGGTGGGCAACTTCAAGCACCCTCTTTCCCTTTTTCATGGTTCTTCCATCTTGAAATGTAGACTTTGCCCCCGTAACCTTTCAAATAGAAGACTCCTTCAGTAAGAGCAGGGGTGGCCCACCCCCAAGAGACTGCGATCTACTCACATAATTAAAAACTGGCAGTGGGGTGTACAGGTCAGAGTTGTTGACCTTTTTGGGGAAGGGAAGTCCCATTTTTGGGGGGTTCAGGTCAAAGTTGTTGACCTGAAGGAAGATCCTGTTGGGGGGGGTGACCAAGAGAAACAGCCACTCACCAACAGATCGCTGGGGAAGCAATCTCACTGAGGAAACTCCGTCTTCCGTTCTGCAGATCGTGCAACAATGGAGGGCAGAGTGAGGGGGCAGGGGCGGAAAGGGACTCAGCGATCGACCGTGATCGACCAAAACCTCCCGGGGATCTACCAGTAGATCGCGATCGACCTGTTGGACATCCCTGAGTTAGAGGATCGCCCTCTATAAAGTAGGACACAGGGCCATCCTTCATGCACTGCCTCTTCTGCTGCTTGTACGTCATCTTGCCAAAGGTCTGACGCCTCTCTCTTAACTGGCAGCATGCAGAAGAAGATGTGCTGGATAAGGAACCAAAAGAGCAGATCAACAAAATCTCAAACTGACTCCCCCCCCCCCCCGTGTTGAGAATCCATCAGGTTTTTTCGTTGTTTTTTACCTTCCTCTCTTTTAGCATCTCACTTTGCAACGCTTCTTAAGTGAATTGAATTCTTCACTTCGCAATAGGTTATGTGCAATGCCCACTTGTAGAAGGTTGTTGTCTCAAGCATGCTTTTTTGGGTGGGGGGAGTTGTCCTTGATTCCAGGATATTTCATGTCACGTGTTCTATTTCTATTTCATTTTGGCGTTTTGCTGTTTTGGAAAATTCATTGTAAATGTTAGCTGGCTGTCATGCGGAGGTTGTTCAAAAGTGCATCTTCCTGGGCATAATGCCCACGGCGCCTGCCATGTTGAAATACTTGGGCATCAGCCCAGACTCGTGCAACACCTCTATGCCAGGATGGTGCCTCCCTAGTGGCCGTTGGTGTATTCGGGTTTGTAACGTAACATGCCGTGTGGCACATTTCCAGCAAGACCCACAGAGTGGCTGTGCCACTTAAATTGGCCCTTGCCACAATGGCACAGAGCAGAGGCAAACAGTGGCCTTGAATAGGGTCAATTGCCAGTGGAACAGACAGCCTCCTGACCTGATCACTGGTATACAAATTCTGGCCACTTACTTTCCGGTGGATTTCGTACATGGCCAGAGTTGTGACGTGGCAGTAGCTACCACAGATGAAAAGACACCAGCAAAGGCTAGGCCAGTTGGCTTGGAGAGACCCTGTAAGTTTGCTCCCATCGAAATCAATTGCTTTATTCCAGCGTTAAGTAGCCGAAAACTGCAAATTCTGCCAAGGGATTTTTATTTATTTTTTTTAGTTCTCCAAATAGTCAGCTACTGGGTGCTTATATTAAGGACCCAGGTCTTAAGCACAAATGGGAAACATTGATATTCATGCAATATATACTTCAGAAGATGCTATTCTGTAATCTAAGTGAAAATGCTGCCAGGTTCCTGCAAATTTGCAGACCTTTGTATAGTGGGTGTGGATTGTTTCCTAAATCCCCTCTGCTGCTCAGATGATACATAAACAGGGTGTTCCATGGGGAAGGCTGGTTTTGTGGAGGGTGCTGCTTGCACAATTTCTGACATACACGCACTAAAAAGGAGTCAAGGGAATGGGGCGCTGTCATAGATCCCCTAGCTCACACATGGGTCGTGGGCAGGGAGTGTAGCGCAGCTCGTCCTCCATGAGATGGCCTTGCAAGTTGTATGTGCCAGAGCATTGTAACCGACTCAGCAAGAAGTTTTGCCAGAGACACTGGCCACTTCTGGACCAATTCAGGTTCAGCGGTTGAAGTGAATTTGGTGCTCTTCCTCAACAAACCCATTTCCATTTAAAACACACACACACAAACTTTTTGTAGGAAGGTCCACGATGGCGAAATGTGCTCGGAAGTGTGGGGTAACGATTGTTTGCCTTATATAGCCTCGCCACAAACAAATGGGAAAGAGTGATCAAGAAGCCACTGGCATCATATTTTTATTTTTATTATTTAATATAATATAATAATAATAATTTATTATTTATACCCCGCCCATCTGGCTGGGTTTTCCCAGCCACTCTGGGCGGCTTCCAACCGAATATTAAAAACAATACAGCATCAGACATTAAAAACTTCCCTAAACAGGGCCTCCCTCAGTTGTCTTTTAAAAGTAAAATAGTTGTTTATTGCCTTGACATCTGCTGGCAATTATTATTATTATTATTATTATTATTATTATTATTATTATTAAAATTTGTATGCCACCCTATCTATACCTGCAGGTCTCAGGGTAGTTCACAGAATAAAATCACAATATAAAAACACAAAATACATGATCGAAATAAAAAACAAGAACAACCCTATAACACCCCCATATAACCTCCCTGCTAAGGTTCTGCAAACAAATCGGGATGAAGGCTCAATCAACAGGTTGTCTGGAAGTGACCAGTGACTGCAACCACAATTGCAGTCATTGTGCATAATCACTGTAGCACAAGACATAGGCCTCCCCTTGAATGTCGGTGCACTGCATCTTGGACCCAGCCCCGAACATAGGGGTTGATCAGGGAGGTTTTCTTGCTCCGCGTTGCAGTTGGCTTGTGGCAAAAGGGGTTGCATGGACGGTGTTTTAAATATCAGAATATTGCAGCGGCACTCATCCAGCTGCTTCATCTAGTCCATTGTAGAAGCCATGTCCGTCAATGTCCCATCAGTGGCCAGCTTCCCATCTTGTCTCTACGCCCTATTAACAAGCTTCCAGGACATATATGCATCGACTTCAAGGGCATTTCTCTGGGTCTATCAAGCAATATTTTGATTCCCCCTCCCCAATTCCCTTAAAAAAAAAGGTTGCCGCTTCTGATCCAGCTACACCTGTGGGCAATTAGCATAACAAATTACGGCCCCAGATGGGGATACCTCTCCCCTTTCAAATTCCTCCAATCACTTCAGAAGGGAATATATGAACATCATGATACAGGTGAGGGGGGTTGCACTCATGTTGACTAAATATGCAGGCATCTGCACACTTGTGCAGATTTCCTTTGCTGGATCAGGGTGGTGAAATTTAAAGAGTTGTAGTGTGATTCAAGCTCACTGCGAGCGTTGAAATTCAGGGAAGGTGGATCCTTATTATTTTTTGTATAGTAGAAATAATCTGGCAGCAGTAGCTGGCAAACTATACTGTGTTCAATCTTGTGTAACAGTTATTTTAACAAAAATGCTATAAACTGTATTCTACATTATAGACTTTTATATGGAGATACTACTACTACTACTACTATTACTACTAATAATAATGCAGCTATAGGTACATTATAATCCTTAGTGTGACTGAGAAAAAAAATGTACTAGATGGTATTACTTAAAATAATAATGATGAGCGTTATTTCTTTTTGTATTTATGCCTTATAAATAAAATGGTTATATACACAACGAAAGGGTACTGTGAAAATTAATAAAGTCAACAGACTGTTTAGAACCGATCCTACTTCTCTTAGTGTGTTTTAAGGGTTGCACTTGACTCAGCTGGTCACAATAAATGTTCCATCGCAACTAATTCAAGAAATTAGAATTGTAAATAACTTTGGTCCCATGGCTTGCCATGGGATGTGGTTCACACCAAATTCTTGCTGGGTCAGGACCACCATATGGAAATCATCCAGTTTACTTAAAAGAGTAAGGCAAGAAGGATGTCTCTATCCTTCCCAGGTTTAGATTGCATCTGTTTTAATTTAAGTGGGGCATTTGGTAACTGTCAGATGTAATGATGCCTTTCTTTTACAAAGTTACTGTACAATGTGGCCTTTCAGTTCATTAAAATGTGACATCCAATAAACTTTTAAAAATGGTGCACATCCTTCGAAGTCCGCTTAATTGAACAGAAATATTAATTCATCCCTCGGTCATGTTTCCTCTTCCCAGGGACATCCAAGACAATGCCATAAGCCTGATTGGCGAAGGGTTGGCTTAACAACACGTTCTGTTTCGCATCGGCAGGGTTTTTCATGGGACCTGCATCAGGGAAATGAGGAGATTGCTGTTGCTTATGGGGGAAATGGATTTTTAAAATTATAGGTTCTTGCCAAGGGATTTGCAGGTCTGCAGGAGGGATCACCTCTTGAATTCTCAACGGATTATTTTATAGGTTGTTTTGCAATTTGAGTGATGCCAAGTCAGTCATGAGCCGGGGCTCTGATTCCCTATCCTCAGGAGAAGAGGCCATGCAAACAGAGGACATCTTTGACCAACTTACATTGCAGAGTGCCTTATACAAGTCAGACGACTGGTCCTTCTAGCTCAGTGTTGTCTAAACTGACTGGCAGCAGCTCTCTAGGATTTCAGATGGGGAGTCTTGCCTAGCCCTTCCTGGAGACGCTGGGGACCGAACCTGGGACCTCTTGCATGCAAAACAGATGCTCCACCACTGAGCTACAGCCTGTCTTCATAGAGTGTTTAGGACCATAGGAAGCTGCCTTACACAGCTGCCATGGTCCACCTACAGTGACTGGCAGAAGCTCTCCAGTGCTTCAGACCAGGAGGCAAACTGGACCTTCAGAACTAGTCTTCAATGCCCCTGCTTCTTCAGGAGTTCTAACACCACATGGTGTCGGTGGTTGCATTGTTTACTGTGGACTTCAGAAGAAATAGCAGAACCACAGCCTCCTCCTCGCCACTGGAGTCAATGGTACTAAAATAGGCTGGGTCCCTTGATAGGGGTAGAAGTTTCAGTCATCAAGATCTGCAGTCCTACTTACAGCCAAGGCTTGGTTTGGTCGCCTGCTGGAGTCATACTCAAACTGGCCTTGTTTTGTTGGCTAGGCCCTCTTCGGAGCTGTCCAGGGTGCTACCTGCCTTGCTCTCTTGCCTTTTGGATCCTGAGCACGGCTTTGCTTGACCTCACTTACCGTATTTTTCGCTCTATAAGACACACTTTCCCCTTCCTAAAAGTAAGGGGAAATGTGTGTGCGTCTTATGGAGCGAATGCAGGTGGGAGGCTCTGCTCAGCGCTCCCTTTAAAGAGCTGCATGGAGCATGTGTGCGGCTCTTGGGGGCTGCCCTTCTCCTTCCTCGGGGAAAAGCCCCCAAGAGCCGCACACACGCTCCATGCACTCTTTAAAGGGAGCACGGCTCTTGGGGGAGCCTTCATCCCGCTGCCTGGGAGAGGCTGCGCGCGGCTATCCCATAAGCCAGGACAGCTAGAGGAATCACTACGCAGCGACCCCTCTTGCTGTCCTGGCTTCTGGCTCAGCCGCATGAAGCATCTTGAGGGCGGGGGAGCCTTCATTCCGCTACCCTCTTGCTGTTCTGGTTTCTGGGATTCAGAATATTTTTTTTCTTGTTTTCCTCCTACAAAAACTAGGTGCGTCTTATGGTCTGGTGCGTCTTATACAGCAAAAATACGGTATATGGAACTACCCTCTGCTTACAGGAACCTAATTTGACTTTGTTTCCAGGATTCTGAAGTGGGAGTAGTGGTATGTGACCTTGTTTCCCAGCCATGTGCATCTGGCATGGTCTCCTGCCCCCACCATTTATCTAAGCCACGCAATCGTGTATCTCCCACCAGTTCTGTTCAAATGAACAAGGGTACTTAGGATGCCTGCCTGGTAGAAATGGCATCCATGGTAAATTGACTGTGGTCAGAAAAAGCCAGAGGCCACTCCCTCCACGGAGAGGGAAAAGAGCCTTTAAAAGTGGAGCCACCCTTACAGCTTTGTCCTTTGCACCAGATCTGGGCCAGATTTCCCATGCCACCAGGAAGCTGATCATCCCCACTTGTCTTGACGCTTGGAATCCATTCTACGAAATGTTTAAGGGCAGAGTCGTAATAAACCAGCATGTTCTTCTGAACTCTGGGAGAGGCTCGGGGAGCATGGGCTGCCTTTACACGCTGAGCAAACTGGGAGGGAGTTCTCTGGGAAACTCAGGGGGCATTGGTCTCAGAGTTCCTGGGCTTTAGTATATCTGAAGGAGCGTCTCCACCCCCATCGTTCTACCCGGACACTGAGGTCCAGCGCCGAGGGCCTTCTGGCGGTTCCCTCACTGTGAGAAGCCAAGTTACAGGGAACCAGGCAGAGGGCCTTCTCAGTAGTGGCACCCATCCTGTGGAACGCCCTCCCACCAGATGTCAAAGAGAACAACACCTACCAGACTTTTAGACGACATCTGAAGGCAGCCCTGTTTAGGGAAGCTTTTAATGTTGGATGCATTACTGTATTTTAATATTGTGTTGGAAGCCGCCCAGAGTGGCTGGGGAAAGCCAGCCAGATGGGCGGGGTATAAATAATAAATTATTATTATTATTATTATTATTATTATTATTATTATTATTGAAGTTGGTTGGGGTCCGCAAGCTGCTTTGATCTCTTGGATGGGATAAGGCAGCTGGAAGACAGCCGAGTTTGCCTATGCCTGGCATAGAGCTTTTTTATTTTAAGTAATTGCTTCCGTGCAGCCCAGTCCTTTCCCATCTGGGCTGTGAGAGTTGAGTGAGAGGGTGGCGGTGGCTGCTACTGGGTAGCAAGGCCCAGCAGGCAGCACTGCAGGGCTGTTGTGCAGCAGCAGGGCAAGGAATGTGCTAGGAGAGACTTAGCTTAGCATCCTCTGTTCTCTGCATGCTACCTGCAGGCTGCAAACCTGGCTGGTGGCGCCGCCTGGCACAACAGGCACAGTATGCCAGTCACTGACAGCTCTAGGTATTGGATAAGCAGGAGAAATGAGTCTACCCTGAAATATATCAAATGCACTGCAATACGATATAATAGATTGGTTTCAGGCCAGCCAAGGATTATCATTAGCTGGCAAGGTGCTTTGCTTGAACAGTTTTGACTCTGATCCAGCTCTGCCTTGCTTCACTGGCTCTGGAATCTCCATGTCATTCATCTGCAGCAAGGAAGGGGAACCTGTGACCTTCTGGGTGATGTTGGGCTGTAACTCCCATCATCCCTGACCCTTGGACAGGTGACTGGGGAGTCCAACAACATCTGCAGGGCCACAGGTGTCCTGTCCCAGACCTACAGGAACCATCAGTTCATTCTGGCTTGGATCCAGATTAACTTGGCAGCATTTAGGTCTAGTTGAATTCACCGGGGCAAGTTATCCGTGACTTAGTCCCATTGATTTCAATGGGAACCAGGGGCATCTAGCTTGGTCTGGGTCCAAGCTTCTCTGGGCTGTATTGAAACTTCACATATGCTTTAAATTCTTATGTATTCTGTACAGTGGTACCTTGGTTCTCAAACACCTTGGTTCCCAAATGCCGAAAGTAAGTGTTCCAGTTTTCAAACGTTTTTTGGAAGTCAAACATCTGATGCAGCTGTCGGCTATTGTTTCCGGGGCACCTGCACCAATAAGAAGCTGCGCCTTGGTTTTTGAACATTTCAAAAGTCAAACGGACTTCCGGAATGGATTAAGTTAGGCGCTTTTGTTTTAGCTATTTATTTTGCATTTTTGTTTTTGAGGCTTTTTTGGTTAATTTGTTTTTGTGACTGTGTGGAACCCAGTTCAGCTACTGATTGATTGTGTGACTGCGGAAATGGATAAAAGCCCCCATCCAAACAATGACTGTCATCAGTGCAGGTAAGAAAATAATAAGAATTTTATTTTTTATCATCTACAATACTGTCTTCTTTATTTTATAGTACTGTACATTGATTATTGCTTTCATTTTATGGACCAATGGTCTCCTTAGATAGCAAAATTCATGTTTAGGGGTTGTTTTTAAATGTCTTGAATGGATTAATCCATTTTGCAATACTTTCTATGGGAAAGTGCGCCTTGGTTTTAGAACGGACTTCCAGAACAGATTAAGTTTGAGAACCAGGGTACCACTGCATTGCTTTTTCAGGCATCTCCAAGTAGGGCTGGAAGAGGACACTGTCTGAACACCCCTGAGAGCTTCTGCCAATCCGTGTAATCCATGCTGAGCTAGATGGACCAATGGGATGTTGCTGCCTTGATTCTCATTCTCAGCCACCAGAAAAGACTACTCAGTCATGTTGAATAATTACACCTTGGAAAACACATGGGCGATTCTGGGTCGTGCTAGCGACTTGAGAAATGATTAAATGGCTGCTCCGAAATAAGTTGCTCTAATTAAACAAACAGTGTTGACTCAGAGTTAAATTTCAGAGTTTTTAGTTGTGGGCTTACCTTCAGGAGAACAGCAATGGCTTCATGGGGAAGTATGCTTTGCACTGGGGACATCTGGCCAGATCTGGCGACAGCGTACATAGCTAAGATCATTATGGAAATGTATCATCCAGGACTCTGGGTAGTTAGCCTCAATTCCATGGGAGTAGCAGAAAAATGCAGAATTCAGGTCCTTGAGAACTGCAGATTCCGATAAAACAAAAAACCTAAGATAGGTATACAGTTACCAGTGAATGATCCTTGAGGGGGTCCAATGATTTATCTAGCAATCTGTTCTAAATTATGAAATAGTAAAACTTGCAGACCACTGGTCCCACAACCTCCTGGCTAATAGAAGGGGAAGAAATGGAGGCAGTGAGAGATTTTACTTTCTTGGGCTCCATGATCACCGCAGATGGTGACAGCAGCCACGAAATTAAAACGCCTGCTTCTTGGGAGAAAAGCATTGACAAACCTAGACAGCATCTTAAAAAGCAGAGACATCACCTTGCCAACAAAGGTTATATAGTTAAAGCTATGGTTTTTCCAGTAGTGATGTATGGAAGTGAGAGCTGGACCATAAAGAAGGCTGATCGCTGAAGAATTGATGCTTCTGAATTATGGTGCTGGAGGAGACTCTTGAGAGTCCCATGGACTGCAAGAAGATCAAACCTATCCATTCTGAAGGAAATCAGCCCTGAGTGCTCACTGGAAGGACAGATCCTGAAGCTGAGACTCCAATACTTTGGCCACCTCATGAGAAGAGAAGACTCCCTGGAAAAGACCCTGAAGTTGGGAAAGATGGAGGGCCCAAGGAGAAGGGAATGACAGAGGACGAGATGGGTAGACAGTGTTCTCAAAGCTACCAGCATGAGTTTGACCAAACTGCAGGAGGCAGTGGAAGACAGGAGTGCCTGGCGTGCTCTGGTCCATGGGGTCACGAAGAGTCGGACACGACTAAACGACTAAACAACAACAAAACTTGCAGAAGGATTGATGGAAAACAAGAGATATCACTTGTATTTCTCAATTTGCAAAGTGCATTCAGGTTAGGAATGCAGGAATCTGTCTTACACAGAGTCAGACAATTCGTCCAACTAACTCGGTAGAGTCTGCACTGACTGGCAGCAGCTCTCCAGGCAGGCTTTCAGACCAGGATCTTTCTGAGTCTTACCTGGTGATGCTGGGGATTGAAGCTGGCCCTGAGATCTCCTGCATAATTTCTCCACAGAAGGACCCTTTCCTTGAGGTGGAATTTGGATTATCTGGGTGTATAAATCAAAAAATGTTTACTTAAACCAAACTACTTTAAAAACCGGTTAAGAAAATACACTGTTTGGTCTCATCAGACCTGCATCAACTCATTAGCTCAGGGTTGAGGGCCCAAAACTCAGTTTTAGAACTGCTACTGTAAGCTCCTGCTCCACATTTCTCCTTTCTTTAATTCTCTGATTTGGACTTGTGAATGCCGATTGGTTGAGGAGAGCTGTAGAGCAATCACCACAAAGGGATTTGCATAATCATGACACTCTTGTTTCTCAGCTCTCCTGATTGGCTATTGTCACTTCCTTGATTGGATGGGCTATTATAATCTTCCTCTTCCAACTGGTTCCATTATTAGAATCTCCCCGTTTCCCCCCTCCTTCTTAAAAAAGAACAGTTTTGCTAGCAGCAGCAGTAGCAACAACAAAAAGAAACCTTGTTTTCATTCCCCGAAGCTTAGACAGGAAGGTTAAAAACATACAGAAAGAGGGAAGGTGTTTAATACCAACAGAAAATCTCCAGTTGTGGGGAACCTTTTCCAGCTTGAAGGTCGGATTTCCTCTTGGATGACGTACTGAGGGCCGAGCGCCAGCGGTATGCAAGGCCAGAGACATTGAGGTTTTTTTAAAAAAAAATAAACAAGCAGTGTATAAATTTTATTAAACAAACAAATCAAATAAATAAAGGTGGGCATGGCCAGAGGCAAAAGTGAGTGGAGTCAAAGAGGGAGGTTTTTATGCACCTGCCAAATACATTTCTCCACATGGGTACCGTAAACGCTTCTTTGCGTTTTTGTAAATGGTAATTGCTTCCCCCAAAGAATCCTGGGATGTGTAGTTTGTTAAGGGTTCTGAGAGTTGTTAGGAAACCTGTAGCCCCTCCTTGAGTAACAGTTCCCTGAGTGTCTGAACATGAATTCTCCCTTCCTAGGGAACTCTGGGAAGTGTAGCTCTCCACACCCTTAACATCCTGCCAACCTAGCAGTTCGAAAGCACGTCAAAGTGCAAGTAGATAAATAGGTACCACTCTGGCAGGAAGGTAAACGGTGTTTCCGTGCGCTGCTCTGGTTTGCCAGAAGCCGCTTTGTCATGCTGGCCACATGACCCGGAAGCTGAACACCGGCTCCCTCGGCCAATAAAGCGAGATGAGCACTGCAACCCCAGAGTCTGTCATGACTGGACTTAATGGTCAGGGGTCCCTTTACCTTTACCTTTACACCTTTAACAGACTCCAGGGTTCTTTGTGGGAAGCCATTACTTTTTAAAGTGATATGATACTGCTTTAAATGTATAGTGAAGAAGGGGCTTGTGTGTGTGTGTGTTTTCTATTTTTTGAATCAGTGAAGCTGACAAAAGAACCACTGGCCAGTTCCTGAGACTCCTGTGCCTCTCTTGGTGTTTTTTTAATCAGAAAAAAAGCCCAGAATAATAAAATTGATGGTTATGGCTGACCATTCACTTGCTACCACAAAGCCCAAGGTGATGATCAGGGCAAGCCCTACCATTAGGCAAAGTGAGACAACTGCCTCAAGTGGTGGATGCTGGAGGGAAACACTGACAGCCTTTCCACCAGCCCTTCTCAATCCCCTGGCTTTCCTTCTGGAGGACAGAACTGTGTGTACTGCATGAGCTGCCCTGCCCCATCTCAGCCTCAAGTGCAAGGAGAGACGCTATCTTGACACTGTTGTTCAAGGAAGATTCAACTGCTAGTCCACTTGGCCTTTGTTCGTGGGTGAGTGTTGCCATCTGGTCCTTTGACTTGGGCTGCAAAATGGCGTGTGCTTTGTCGATAATTCATTTAGTGACCTCCAGCAGAAGATTCGTTCATCCATTTCTTTTAAAGAAATGTTAGGGACTGCCCTTTGCAATGTATATACCCAAAGCCTTGTTTGTAAGCAGAGCGGTTAAACCAGAGTTTCCTGGTTCTGGTGCAATGGGAAACAATGGTTTAAACAAACCACCACAGAAGTACCCAAGCTGCCTAGGATTCAACAAGGAAGGGACAGAGCATGCAAACACAAGGCTCCTGGTGTTTTACAACATGGTTGTCACATCTGAACTGGCCCCGCTGTGTTAATGCATGTAAGTAAGGTAAAGGGACCCCTGACCATTAGGTCCAGTCGTGACCGACTCTGGGGTTGCGTTGCTCATCTCGCTTTATTGGCTGGGTCATGCGACCAGCATGACTAAGCCACTTCTGGCAAACCAGAGCAGCGCACGGAAACGCCGTTTACCTTTCCGCCAGAGTGGTACCTATTTATCTACTTACATTTTGACGTGCTTTCAAACTGCTAGGTTGGCAGGAGCAGGGACCGAGCAACGGGAGCTCACCCCGTTGCGGGGATTCGAACCACCAACCTTCTGATCGGCAAGTCCTAGGCTCTGTGGTTTAACCCACAGTGCCACCTGCGTCCCAAATGCATGTAAGTACACACCGATAAAGCATGGAGATAAAGAAAGCATGGAAGCATTACGAAATGTAGGAATTGAGTAGTAACAGAATAGTCATTAGAAGGTAAATATAGAATGAGAATGAGATGGCTGTTACTAGGGCAATAGTCCCCAGATAATAAAGGCGCTTTATATGAAGCTATCCATCTGTGTGTGCTTTCTGTGCAAATACTATTTAAAGAGTTTCAGTTTGCTGGGGAATCTTTCCTCTTGGTTCAGCAAAAAAACACCACATGGCACTTTTGAAAAACTAAACTATTTTCCACCCTCCTCGTCTGTCATTTTTGCAAGGAAGCAAGAGAAGGCACGTTGCTTTTCTGATATATTGGAACAACACATCAGTTTCTTCAATTTTGCGAGGTAATAGAAAACCTCAGCCCTGACTGTGTCCATTACCTGATAAAACCCATCAATCCAGTTGAGGATCAAAAATCCGTAAAAGACAGAGCTGCACCACAGAACTTGATGCTGTTTTGTGTTACTGAGATGGGAAGGGTGCCGGAACCTGAGGTGCACCTGCTACAGGGGTGTGCCAAAATTATTCCCCCAAAATTCACAACTCAGTTTACATTTCAGACTGCGGGGCATCCATTTCACCTGTCTTTTGTAAAGCAAGATACTTCACCCTTCTCACTCTATGCAGTGTGCCAGTGTGGTGTAGTAATTAGATTGTCAGACCAGGACCTAGGAGACCTGGGTTCAAATCACCACTCAGCCATGAAGCTCACTGGGTGACCTTGGGCCACAGTCACTATTTCTCAGCCTACCCTACCTCAGTGGGTTGTTGTGGGGATTAAATAAGGAAAAGGAAAACCAGGTATGCCAAACCCCTCAAGTGTCCCAATTTAATGCAGAATTCAGCGGCCGGGTTGCTCACCGGAGCAAGATGGTTTGAGCATTTTACACCGATCCTGGTCCGACTGCACTGGCTACCAATTAGTTTCTGGGCCCCATTCAAAGTGTTGGTTTTGACCTATAAAACCTCAAACTGCTCAGGACCGCAATACCGCAAGGACCACCTCTTTCCATATAAACCTACCCGGATCCTGAGATCATCTTCTGAGGTCCTCCTTCACGTGCCTCCTCCTCGAGAGGTGTGGAGGGTGGCAACACGAGAATGGGGCCTTCTCTGCAGTGGCTCCCCATCTGTGCAATACTCTCCCCAGGGAAGTTTGCCTGGCACCTTCATTAGACACCTTTAGGCACCGGGCAAAAATGTTCCTTTTTAACCAGGCCTTTGGTTCATTTGACTGACATCCTATGCCCTTTTAAAATGTGGGGGTTTTTTGGGGGGGGGGGGGTTATTGGGTTGTCGCTTTTATTTTTGTTATGTTTTGTGGTTTTATGCAGCGGTACCTCGGGTTAAGTACTTAACCTGAAGCGTATGTAACCTGAGGTACCACTGTATCTTGATTTTATTCTGTGAACCGCCCTGAGACCCCCAGGCATAGGGTGGTATATAAATTCTAATAACAATAATAATTGTGACAACCCAAATTTACAGAACCCACCCAATTTGGGATGTTCCATTTTTCCTGGAGGCCGCTCTAGACTGAGCGGCATCTCTGGACGTGGCAGGGATTAGTGCGACCTTCCTGAGGCCGCTCTAGGCCTCTGAGCAGGAAGCCAGAACAGCAAAGGTGAGAGAAAAGGAAAATGGAGGGGCCGAGTTGATGAGCGACAAAGCGGTCAGTAGCAGGGAGGGGGCAAGCGATGGAGATGGGGGGTGCCCCATTTTTTTCTTGCAAAATGTTGGAAGGTATGGTATGCTGGGAAAAGATTGGGATATAAATGCAATCCATCAATTGTGGCACCCACGCTGCACTTGTACAGTGGTACCTCGGGTTACATACGCTTCAGGTTACAGACTCCGCTAACCCAGAAATATTACCTCGGGTTAAGAACTTTGCTTCAGGATGAGAACAGAAATTGTGCTCCAGTGGCGCAGCGGCAGCAGGAGACCCCATTAGCTAAAGTGGTGCTTCAGGTTAAGAACAGTTTCAGGTTAAGAACAGACCTCCGGAACGAATTAAGTACTTAATCCGAGGTACCACTGTATAGAGAAGCCTGTCTTACATAGGCATCATGCGCAAACTCTGAATGCCTAATTGCTCAAAACTGTGTAGGATGTAGAGGTGCCAGCTTGCAAGGGCAATCGGGGAGGCCAATGTCATGCCCGTGATGTCAGGGCATTGGGAGGAGCTGGGGGCGGAGTTGAACATGGCGGCCTCGTGGCTTCGATAACTGGCGGCTTCCTCTTCCACTGGCGGAAGGCTGCTTCAACCCTCCTTCTCCTCCACGGCAGGAGAAGGAGCTGGCCACTTCGCTCCATGCTTCTTTTATTGAAATTGAAATACTTTATTGTCACTTGTACAACTTGTATACAGTGAGATTACACGAGCACCCCCCCACTCAGCTCTCTTAGTCTTAATTCCCCTCGTTTACTGACGCACACCCACCAAACCTGAAAGCCAGTTGCCCTGTTGTTATCTTTTCCTTCAGCAGCCTAACAGCCCACGGATAGAAGCTGTTCTTTACCCTGTTGGTGCGACTAATCATGCTTCTATATCTTCTGCCTGAGGGCAGGAGATCAAGAAAGTGCCGGCCAGGGTGTGAATCATCCCTGAGAATTTTCCTCACTCTCCTGAGGCAACTTTCTTCCGCTATTTCATCCAGCAGATTCACGGGACAGCCCATAATATCTTGTGCTGTATTCACCACCCTCTGTAGGCATTTCCTATCAGTTGATGTCAAACCAGCGTACCATGCTGTGATGCAGTATGAAAGGACACTTTCTATTGTGGACTGGTAGAAGGAGATCATCAAATGTTGATTTCTTGGACATGGGGGAGGGGCAGCCCCTACCCCCAAAATATAGGGCCCCCCAAAGGGCTTGGCCCCAAGGAGATGGCACCCCTGGTTGGGTGTGAAGTCAAACCAAGCATGCAGGGCTCACCAACTTGTTGCTGGTGCACATTTGGAATGTTTCTTTTAGGGGAAGTTCACATTAAATTGCAGACAAACTTTCACGATTTTTTTAAAAAATAAAGATCATAAATTGATAGGTGACCTTCTATCATATGTGGTGGAATTGTAAAATGATAAAGGAATTCTGGGAAATGACATATAATGAACTTTTTAAAAAAGTTTAAAATAATGTGTTTTTTTGAAAAACCAGAAGTCTTTTTGTTAGGAATTGTAACCAAAGGAATTGAAAAGACTGTTCATGTACGCTACTACTGCTGCAAGGATACTGCTTGCCCAGAGTTGGAAAGATGATAAGATACCTACAAAAGCGGATTGGCAGATGAAACTACTGGACTATGCAGAGATGGCAAGATTGACCGGGGAAATTAGAAATCAGGAGGATCAAAACTTCAATAGAGAATGGGATAAATATAGACTATATCTAAACGAACTATGTAAACACTTGAACTCTTTGGCATGCTTTAAATAACTCTTGCAATGTGACAAAGACTTTGGATATTATGGAAGACTGAAATTGGGAAGAATTTGTAATATGCAGTTGACAGAGGTATTTAAAGAACCCACGGAGGGGAAGTCCTAAGATTCAGCAGAATCTTGTTTTAATTTTAATATTTGCAAGAATGTTAGTTGTGTCAACGAACTTGTAAAACCAAATAAAACTTTATGGGGGAGGAATTAAGTTTGGGGGTGGAGGATACCACCAGAATGGACAGGTTTGCCTATCCCACTTGTCGTGTTTTTCTGAATGTACTCGGAACCCACCAGAAAGTCTGGAAACATTTGGAAGTGCATCTGCCTGTCCCAAAAACTAGGAAGGATGGAAATCCTTGCATCCTTTCTGCCCAACTTTGTTTCTCTCATCCCATCAGGGAGTTTACTGGCTTTCCTAGATGCTGATCGCAGCTCAGCTTCTGACAACAGAAATTCCTTTGGCTCGCAATTACTGTACTTACGATAGAAGAGATCCCTTCTGGCCTGACCCAGATTTTGGCTTCCATCTCACACTTGTAGGTATGTATTCCTATGCGGAATCCAGGCTCCTGGAAGGGGGCAGAAGACTGGTCTTTTTTCTAGCTTAGCCAGAGGCATCGGAAGGGGGGTGAAGTGGGGGCAGCCCGCCCCAGGTGACATCCTGAGGGGGGTGACATTTGATGTGCTCCCTGCCCATGTGCCATTGCCCCCGCTTCTGGCTGAAGGAGCAGGCAGGGGAGAGTACGAGCTGTGCGATGTGTTCATCCCCGAGCCCCTGGCAATGCTATTCCAAGAGTTTTCTCCTGGATTCCAAGTCCTACTACAGGGGAGGGACACCCCAGGCCTTGGGAGCCAATCAGGGCCTCCTGCCCCCAAAACATGGCTCCCCAGGGAAGGGGCCCCTCTCGCTGACAACTGCCCCCCACCTTGCCCTGCAGCCCAGCCCCCTGCTTCCTCCATCGGACCCCACAAAACGGGGTGGTTGGGTTTCCAGATGCTGGCCCAGATGGACCTTGGGTCGGATCCAGTCATCTGGCTCTGTGCATCTTTTGACTAGCTGCTCCCCTAGCCCATTCCTGCCTTCCTCTGTCCCAAAAAGAAGGGCCACTTGCTCACCTGACGCCACCGGCTGCTCCGGGCCTTGCGGGGGGTCCACTCTGTTGCTGCGGCCGATCAGGCATCTTAAGCACCTGAACCTAGAAGAGACGAGCAGAGAGACCGACTCAGAAGCTGGCAGCCCCAATTCTTGGGGGGTGTTTGTGTTTGAGGAGGGGCGGCTGGCCCAATTCCTTCCATCTCTCTGCAGTTCAGTGACCTGAAAGAGACCTGAAAGAGGAAAGAGGCAGCCCAGAGCATGAAGGGCTGGCAGAGAGAGAAAGGAGGCCCCAAGTGCTATGGGTTCAAGAGCTCCAGCCCAAAGAAAAGAGAAGCATTGCCAGCTGTTAAAGGGCTGCTCTGCCTCGTCTTCTTAGGACAGACCTACGGAGAAAGGGACGTGGGTGGCGCTGTGGGTTAAACCACAGAGCCTAGGGCTTGCTGATCAGAAGGTCAGCAGTTCGAATCCCCGCGATGGGGTGAGCTCCCGTTGCTCGGTCCCTGCTCCTGCCAACCTAGCAGTTCGAAAGCATGTCAAAGTGCAAGTAGATAAATAGGTACCACTCCGGCGGGAATGTAAACGGCGTTTCCGTGCGCTGCTCTGGTTCACCAGAAGCGGCTTAGTCATGCTGGCCACATGACCCGGAAGCTGTATGCCAGCTCCCTCGGCCAATAAAGCGAGATGAGCGCCGCAACCCCAGAGTCGGCCACGACTGGACCTAATGGTCTGGGGTCCCTTTACCTTACCCTTCCAGGAGAAGGAGGGTGTTATGTATTGGGTTTAACACATTTTATGTTACAAGGCACATTCTAACCAATCGTATAAGCGTTGGTAGAGTAAGTAGAGTAGAGTACTGGTAGAGTAAGTTGGTAGAGCAAGTAAGCGCATGCACTTCCAACTGTCAACTGTCAACGGTCAGTTCATGCTCGGCATTATTATTGTGTTGTCCAGTCAGTTCGGTTCTTGTTTTCCTATGAGTGAGCTGTTGTCACTGACAAATGTTGAATAAACGTAGTTGAGGAACTTATACTGCCTTGGGCTTCTGACATTTCCCGAACATTTAACAGAGGGAGACCCCTAGGAGGGTTCTCCAAGCATCAAGGTGTCCCAGAAGAGGAGCAGAACATGAAGAAGGTGGTGGAGTCTTTCTTGAAGCCAGAGAGACCCCCAGGAAGGGGGAGAAGGCCGATGTCATAGGGCAGCTGGAGAGATGCAAAATGGAGCCAGACAGAAGTGTAATGGTTAGAGGGCTGGACTAGGAGGACCTGAGAGAGCAGGGTTCGAATCCCTACTCAGCCATGAAGCTCCCTAGTGGACCTTGGGCCAGCCTAGCCTACTTTGCAGGGCTGCTGTGAAGATAACAGTTGGTGGCAGAGAGAACCATGAAGGCCACCTTGAGCTCCTGGGAGGAAAGTGAGCTAGGAATGTCCTAGTAAATGTAAATGATGAGAGGGGATAGAAAAGGGGAAGGCAGGGGAAGAGTGTGGAGGAGCTGAGCTCTCTGGAGAAGACTGGCCGGGTCGATTTCAAGAGAGCTAAGGCTGTACAGAGGATCCCAGGACTCACGCTCCCCCCCCCCCAGGAGACCAAGAGAAAGCAAAGGAATGCTACTTACAGTCTGCACATTTTGTTCACAAAAAATCTCCACTCTCCTCTCTAAACTAGCTAACTATCTAAAGTGCCCACCCAAGCCTAACTCTGACCCCAACCCCAGCCCTAAGCCTAAGCCTAACCCTACCCTTAACTACTCCTCTATGCACAAAATAAATATATACAAAATATATACACAAATGTGCACAAATGTCCACAAAATGTAAAATAAAAATTATGTAAATAGAGAACAAAAAGTAAAATAAAAAAGTAAAATAAAAGTGTTAAAATAAAAAAGTAAAATAAAAAAATAAAAATTAATAAAATCAAATAAATCAAATAAAAGTAATACAGTGGTACCTCGGGTTACAGACGCTTCAGGTTACATACGCTTCAGGTTACAGACTCTGCTAACCCGGAAATAGTGCATCGGGTTAAGAACTTTGCTTCAGGATGAGAACAGAAATTGTACAGTGGCAGCGCCGCGGCAGCAGGAGGCCCCATTAGCTAAAGTGGTGCCTCAGGTTAAGAACAGTTTCAGGTTAAGAATGGACCTCCAGAACGAATTAAGTAAATTAAATCAAAATCAAAATAACCATCAAAGAACACCTCTCTTTATCATCTCCAACCACCACCACCACCTCTCTCTATTACTCAACTCGCCTCACTACTAACCCACAATGGCCTCCTGCAAGTCTCTGGCTTTTAAGGGAGAAGGAAGAGATGTCACAAAGGAGGGCAGGTCCTTGTCACCGTGGCAACCCCCTCATCTGGCCCTGGCCCCTCCTGAGAGGTGATGCTGCACAGTCAGAACTTGGAGGCATCTGGTGATACGCCTGCAGCTGGGCCGCATCTTCTCTGGTCAGATTCACGTCAGCATTTCACATCCTTCTTCCTGCGGTCCCGTTTCCAAAGGGAGACCATCCCCACATCCTTCAAGGCAGGCTAGGCGTCTCCATAGCACTGGATTGGACCATCTGTTTTGCATACAGGTCTTCTGTCCTGGTCAGTATCTCCGGGGGGAGGGGCTGGGAATGTCCCCCCCCCCATCCGAAACCCTGGAGAGCTGCTGCCAGTCAGTGCAGGCTAGTTGAAGAAGGATATTGAGCAGCTGGAAGGTGAGCAGAGGAGGGCAGCCAGGATGATGAAGGGTCTGGAAACCAAGCCTGATGAGGAACAGTTGAGACAGTTGGAAACCAAGCCTGATGAGGAATGGTTGAGGCAGTTGGAAACCAAGCCATATGAGGAACAGTTGAGGCAGGTGGGTATGTTTAACCTGGAGAAGAGGAGACTGAGAGGAGAGCCATCTTCCAATAGCTGAAGGCTGCAAGAGGGAGCAAGCTTGTTTTCTGCTGCTTCAGAGGGGAGGGCAGGAGAGGAGATTTGGACTAAACATTAGGAAGAACTTTCTGATGGTAAGACTCTCTGGGACAGTGGTGGACTCTCCTTCCTTGGGGGCTTTTAAGCAGAGGTTGGATGGTTTTCAGCAAATCCAAGAAAACTCGTTTTAGTTTAGTTAATTTAAAAAAGAAAATAAGATGAAATTTTGCAAAATTTACTCATTAACTGCTTAAAAGGTACTCCCTGGTGTTATTTTTTAATTTAACTTGCTGGTTTTCAAATGGCTGAAGATTTCCGCAGATTCTTCTGAGCACTTGGGATCAAAAGAAAGCAATTTAAAGCAACTGGTGTTGAGACATTTCATTCCGAATCTGCTAGACAGAGCCAGACACAGGATGATGACAGGTGGGTGTCCTGCCTGCCCCCTAACATGAATCCTGGCTACGCCCTTGCCTCCCATGTGGGCGTTCCAGGTCTGGTTTGTATGAAAAATGTAGTTCTTTGATCGTACAGAGGATAAATTTCTGGAGATATCAAATTGAGCAAGAGTATTCTTACCTCCTCTGGGACAAGAGATGTCCCTGTAGACCTACATTAGCTAAGCTCTTCTGGCACTATTGACTGATGTTCATAAGAGAGATATCCTGATTTGATTACATCATCTGCCGAAAAAGCATTCACTTTTACCCAACCATACAGAATAAAATCGCACAGAGTGGCACATTATCCATTACCTCACGGCTGTTGCAGAGAGTCTGCCAAGTTCATCTCCTAAATGACAAGCGGGGAAGAGTCTTTGCTCTTGGTGCTACAGAACCATAAAACAGGTTAACAGCGGAGAAAGATAGCTCTGGAAGTGATCCCGATGATCTTTTGTTCATCATAATGGAATAATTCATGACCAGCATTTCCAGTTGCTATGGTACTGGAATTTTAATATTATTGTTCCAAAAGATGTCAAATAGCCATGTGCAGAAGATGTCAAAAGAGTGGAAGCTGAGACCGTACTCATAGTTAATAGATAAATAGCAATAATCTGGAATACATAAAGTCAACATCCTTAAATTTAGCTAGACATTTGGAAATTGATGGGGTAAATCAGCTCATAATAATCTATTTCAGCTAAGCTGGGGTCAGCAGACTTTTTCAGCAGGGGGCCGGTCCACTGTCCCTCAGACATTGTGGGGGGCCGGACTATATTTTGGAGGGGAGGGGGAATGAACGAATTCCTATGCCTCACAAATAACCCAGAGATGCATTTTAAATAAAAGCACACATTCTACTCGTGTAAAAACACGCTGATTCCTGGACCGTCTGCGGGCCGGATTTAGAAGGCAATTGGGTCTGATCCAGTCCCTGGGCCTTAGTTTGCCTACCCATATGCTAAAGGGTGCTCTGCCTGAAGTCACTAGGATTTAAGAAGCTTAACTGACATCCCACTGACTCATGAGAAGAACCACTTTTTTTTTAGCTGGAACTCACCAGAACTCAGTTCCGGCACCTCTCAGGTGGGCACCATTGCCATTCTAAGAGAACAAGGTTCATGGTAAGTTCTTGGACAGGAATGGTTCTTGAAAGGGAAGGAAGGGCTGTAGCCTAGTGTAGCTCACTGATGGAACATCTGCTTTTCATCCAGAAGATGTCTGGTTCAATCCCTGGCATCTCCAGGTAGACTCTTCTCTGAAACCCCAGAAACCAGCTGCCAATCAGTGCAGACAATGCTGGGCTATCGGTCTGACTTCAGTGTAAGGAAGCTTTGTATGTTTCCTAAGAGCTGGATAGGCCTTCTGTATAGGAGAGGGTCCTTCCACACCCATTCCAGATGTTGATGCACAGTGCTGGACGTGGAAGCCACTGTCTTCTGGCATCCACATCTGTATTTGATGTATGGAGAAGAGCCTTCATGTGTGAACAGGGCTACGGTTTCGTAAGATGTACAACTGCTCTGATTGCTTTATCTTTTCTTTACTTTTTTATACATAACTTTTATTATAGTTTCTGTTTTACAGTTCTAAATACTTATTTAAACATCCTTACAATATCAGTGACTTTCATTCTCTTTCCATGGTTCATTTTGCATACCATAAATCCCTGCATATTTTACATAAACTAAACCATTCAGTATTCCATTATTACATTGATCAAAACTTGTCTACGCTGTTGAGTTTATCTTAATGCTACCCACATTTTCAAGTGTACACAATTCCCCCCATATATTTAATAAACATTTTCTAATCCTCTTTAAACTTATGTTCTTCTTGTTCTCTTATTCTATATGTTAAGTCCACAAGCTGCGCATATTCCATCAGCTTAAGTTGCCATTCTTCTTTAGTTGGGACCTCACTCATTTTCCATTTTGGGGCTAAGAAAACAAGGGCCACAGTAGTGGCATACATAAATAACCTTTTTCGACACCTGGGAATTTCTGTTTGAATTATCCCCAACTAAAGGAACTCTGGTGTGTTTTTTTTGGGGGGGGGGAAGTACTCTTAAACATTTTTTTTCAATTCATTATGAACTATTTCCCAAATCTCTTTTACCCAGATTGCTTTATCTTTTCAAATAGCTCTTATGAATGGGTGTTATTTATTGGGAGGGGTTGTTTTAAATTGTTCTGAAGTGTTATGTGTTAATTTGTATTTGTATTTTTTGGCTTTATAAGGCTAATTCTTATTCTGGTGTAACCTGAAAAAAGGTAAAGGTAAAGAACCCCTAGATGGTTAAGTTGCGACGCTCATTCACTTTCAGGCCAAGGGAGCCGGTGTTTGTCCACGGACAGCTTTCTGGGTCATGTGGCCAGCATGACAAAACTGCTTCTGGTCCAACAGATCACCATGACACAAGCCACAGCGCATGGAAATGCCGTTTACCTTCCCGCCACAGCGGTACCTGTTTATCTACTTGCACCGGTGTGCTTTCGAACTGCTAGGTTGGCAGGTGCTGGGAAACAGCAATGGGAGCTGACCCCGTCGTGCAGATTCGAACTGCCGACCTTCCGATCAGCAAGCCCAAGAGGCTCAGTGGTTTAGACCACAGCGCCACCCGCTCCCCTTACACCTGCTTAACACACACTGGTCTGCTTAATGCTGACTTTATGTGTATAGGAGGGTTCCCTAAACCTGCCACATCAGCAACAGATCTGCCTGTCTGCTGTTCTTTCTTCTCAGTGTGTAGAGCAGTGTGATCCCTGACCCCCTCAATAAACCAAAACAGCCACCCTCAATTCTTCCCTATGGCTGAGGCAACAATTTCAGCTCACCTCTGCCAGACTTGCACGGATGTTCCATGAGGTTGGGAACTCTGCACACTCTGAATTTCCTGACCACATGAAGCATCTCTGTATACATGCAGCTGTGTGTTGAGATGACAGAGGTTCAATTCTGTTTGCATTCTGATGAGAGGCTACCAGTCCTACTTCTTGAAGCAAATACACAGCACCGTTCTCCTCGAAATTCACACTTGTCCAAAATTTTGCAATGCTGTTATCCAACCAAACAGTGTGTCTGAAAATGCTAGGCAGAAGTGCTCATAAAAGTGTGCATATTGATGAAAATACCATACATTAGGGGGAATGGCTTGCAAAAAAAAAGTGTTTTTATTTAAAATTGCCTGCAAAAATGTGTCCATTCACACTAAAATGCCGGTACATTTTCACAAGGGACGTCTAAAGAAAATCGCAAGCTGCTGTGATAATGTGGAGAACTGAAATTGATGGACATTGTAACCGACAAATGAGGCCATCTCTAGCATCTGCCTTTGTCGTGCCTTTTCAGACATGCTGACTACACCCATGTTGGGGCAAATCTAGTGGGCTGTTGCAATGATGGAGCAGAGTGAGTGGGTGCGAGTCTTCCCCCCTCCAAGTGTAAATTAAAGGGACCCCTGACCATTAGGTCCAGTCGTGACCGACTCTGGGGTTGCGGCGCTCATCTCGCTTTATTGGCCAAGGGAGCTGGTGTACAGCTTCCGGGTCATGTGGCTAGCATGACTAAGCCGCTTCTGGTGAACCAGAGCAGCGCACGGAAACGCCGTTTACCTTCCCACCGGAGCGATACCTATTTATCTACTTGCACTTTTGACGTGCTTTTGAACTGCTAGGTTGGCAGGAGCAGGGACCGAGCAACAGGAGCTCACCCCGTCGCGGGGATTCGAACCGCCGACCTTCTGATCGGCAAGCCCTAGGCTCTGTTGTTTAACCCACAGTGCCACCTATGTCCCTTAAGTGTAAATTGCATACACCCTATTTAAAGCACACCAAAAAACTGGGTTTCTTAGGTCCCAATTTTTTGACCTTCTGGGTTTTCATATAGGACAGGAAACAGGCCATGAATGGTAGATCTACCAGTCCTTCCATTAAGCATTAACAACATGCACCAAGAATTCTCAAAGCCCAGTAGAAAATGCTGCAGCGACAAGGCAATCGTTTGCCTCTATTGTGTTGTGTTGTGCAGTATGTTGGGGGGGGGAGGAGAAGCACGGTGTTGACAACAGCAGAGAGGAGAGCTTAGATGATGAAAAGGAGCCAGGAAAAGATTACCCTACTCTTTCTGGACTCATTTAGGAGATTAATCCAGCAAACCTTGCCTTGCAGCCCTAATGCCATATTGCACACTCTTTTCCTTTGCAAGCACCGGTGCGGAATAGCACAAGCCGTTTAAACACAAAAATAGCAGGGGCTTATGTTGTTGTTGTTGCTCTCTCCACAGTCCAGGGAACTCCTCACTTCATGGCTTTCTGTCACGGGGCTGCTCTCCAGCTTGAACTTTTCTTGATTAAGGTGAACTTCATTTTCTTCTCTTTCCCACATTTTTACTTCCATGTTTTCCTCCCTGATCATATGCCATCAGTGAATGAGAAAAGAAACAACATGCCAGTGATCAGTGGGGCAGATGAAATGGATTTATGAATGAATACATGCAGAACTGACAGTCTGATCCATCCATCCTACTGAATGGCCCCGAAGAGCTAGCAGAGCTGGAAAAACACAACGCACATATTTCAGACAAGCCTCCAGCCGCCCCAGGAAGAGTTGGAATTGCACAAAACTCACTTTATTAATCTGATTTACACAGCTGAGAAACCCCTTCTCAGCAAAACAGCAACTTGTTAGCTTTCCTGAGCGGCTATGACAAGTGATTTGCAGCGGCATACAATAGCATTTAAAGATGTTTAAAACAAACTTATTGCCACTGGAGAGAGGTGAGATTTTGTTTGTTTGCCTGTTTTTACTTGCAGGCAAAGCAATCAGCGATAATATATGGGGGAGTATCAAAAACTCGACCAGGAAAAATGTGAAGTAGGACTGAAAATGCAAGGAGCTGCTTTATATTGAATTATGACATTGGCCTATCTAGCTCAGGATTGTTTACACTGACTAGTGGTGTCTCTCCAGGATTTCAGAGAGGGATCTCTCCCAGCTCTACCTTGAAACGGCAGGGATTGAATCTGGGACCTTCTGCATGCACAGCAGAAGCTCTTCAAACAAACTGCAGCCCATCCCTACAAGTAATCTACTGTCAGGGGCTGGACTGAGGAGGAATGATGGGTACTACCCCCCCCCCGAGAAGGGGGCCTGGTAAGCCCAGTCCCAAATAATAGATCACAAGATGTGTAACATGAATACCACTTGAACGGCAATGTCCAGTGTTATGTACTAAAGTCTCACCCTGGGCCAGCAGGGGGATACTGTAGATAGTTTTCACTCAGGTCCGCATATGCAAACAAGGAATTGAAAGTGACCTTCAGTGATTGGATAGTTACAGAAAGTTGTTACTGTTGCTTTGTAGTTGAGCTCTATATAAGCAGGTTGGCTGAACCCTTCAGTTCAGTTCTGTTCTGGCCTGTGAAGAAAAAAGAACTGTCTGAAGAATCCCTGTGTCGTCTGATATGTTCACCCACAACTTAACACCCAGTAATTTGGGGAGGGGACACAAATATTTTATTGGGGGGACAAAGGGATCTCGCACCTCTCCTGACTCAGTGCCTATGTCCCTCACTATAATCTATGTTATAAATATCATTTACATTTCTATCCCACCCTTCCATCAAAGGAGCCCAGAGCGGCAAACTTGTTAATACTTAAGCAATGCAATTAAAACTTCTTAAAAAGTTTAAAATAATCTTCTGAAAATGGTTAAAAAGATAAAGGACTCCTGACTGTTAAGTCCAGTCACGAACGACTCTGGGGTTGCAGTACTCATCTCACTTTACTGGCCGAGGGAGCCGACGTTTGTCCGCAGACAGTTTTTCTGGGTCATGTGGCCAGCATGACTAAGCCGCTTCTGGCAAAACCAGAGCAGTTCACAGAAACGCCGTTTACCTTCCCACCAGAGCGGTACCTATTTATCTACTTGCACTGGTGTGCTTTCAAACTGCTAGGTTGGCAGGAGCAGGGACTGAGCAATGGGAGCTCATCCCATTGCAGGGATTTGAACTGCCAACCTTCTTATCGGCAAGCCCTAGGCTCAGTGGTTTAGACCACAGCGCTACCCATGTCCCCACAGTGCCACCTGTGTCCCCTGAAAACAGTTAAATACCTGTAGAAGCAATCACTTGTTTGCAATCACAAAGATGTTGTGCATGTGCAACGTCAAAGAGCACAACTCTGCCAGCCAGAGATCAGTTGCAGCCACCGCCGGAATGTGCTTTTGTCACCTCAGTTGTGACAGGCAGGGAAAGTCGCAACACCAGGCGCTTTGTCGGGAGCTGTGACAAACGCATCTAATTTCAGATTCCTCTACCGATCCTTCAAGTTGTTTTCATAAAGCTTTCACTCACAGTTGGCCACACCGCACTAGCTTTGTTAGGCAACATCTCTGGGTAATATACTTTCCTGGCAGGGCTGCAAAATGTCAGCCGATGAAATTAATCTTGGTTTCTCCCTTTCGCTGCAATCAACAGCAACAGCAGAACAAATAATCCCATTTCCCATTGTGCCTCAGAAAGTGCAAGGCTCTCTCTGCCTCTCGGCTCCTCTTTTTCAGGGTCACCCAGCTAACATTTTTTCCTGCCCTCAGATGATCTTTGCACCATCCAGGGGAGCTTGCTTTGCTGAATGCCGACCTGGAAAACCCACAGAAGATATTACACTCATACATTTATGTCACAAAAATCACTCAGCCATTCCTACAGCCTCCAAACAGAAACTCAAGAAATTGTTCCTTCAGTCTTAATTGAATTTGGACAAATCAATCTATTTCCAGTCTATAGTCATTCATAAGTACATTTCATTCCATTCCTCCATTGATTTACATTTTTAATATATATTTTTAAAAAAACTGCATGGAAATTTGCATTTAAATAAGCATTTTTGAATGTACCTCCTCTCATCTTTAAAAAAAAGAATCTGCATAAAAAATTGCATTTAAATGCATATCTTTGGGTTCATTTTCCTCATTGTGATTTATTTCTTGAGCTGAGAACTGCAATAAAAATATCCCGGATGTGTAAAAGCTGGAAGATAAAGCTGCAATCCTAACCCCACTTGCTTGGAAGTAAGCCCTGTTGAATCCTGGTGTAGCCAGGGCCGGCCCTGCTGTAAGGCAGAGTGAGGAGGCTGCCTCAAGCAGCTGATTTTAGATGTCACGAAAGGGCAGCAAATTATTGGTTATTAAATTTATTAGTGTTGCAATTTTACTCCCATGGAAAGGCACTTGTGGGATTTCCTGCTTTGGGGGCCTGGATAGCTCAGTTGGTTAGCACATGGTGCTGATAATGCCAAGGCTGCAGGTTCGATCCCCGAATGGGATGACTGCATATTCCTGCATTGCAGTGGGTTGGACTAGATGATCCTCGGGGTCCCTTCCAACTCTGCAATTCTATGATTCTATGGAAAATAACTTGGCCAGTTTGGGGGACTGTGCATCTTGTCTTGCAGGTGGGGCACACGCTGCCTTAGGCAGCGAAGTCCCTTGAGCCAGTCCTGGGTGTCGTGGTTAAAGCAGGGATGGAGAAGCAGTGGTTCTCTAGATGTTGCTGTACTGGTAGATCGTGATCTACTGGTAGATCACTGGACGTCTGTGGTAGATCAGTGGTAGATCAGTGGCTCCCCCCAAAAGAAGCTTAACAGCTTTTGCTCCTCCATCAACTTTGACCTGAACCCCTAAAAATGGGTCTTACTCCTTCCTAAAAACAGCTCAACAACTTTGACCTGAACCCCCAAAAACGGGCCTTACTCCTGCCTAAAAACAGCTCAACAACTTTGACCTGAACCCCTAAAAATGGGCCTTACTCCTTCCTAAAAACAGCTCAGCAACTTTGACCTGAACCCCCCCCCTAAAAAAGGGGGGTAGATCACTGCCAGTTTTTAACTCTGTGAGTAGATCGCAGTCTCTTGGGAGTTGGCCACCCCAGTAACTCCAACTGTGATCAGCCCCACTCAGCACAGTGTTGGATTTAAACTGTGCCATTGAAGCATTTTGATCAACCTGTGTACATGCATCAGTGGTGCAGAGCAGGGGGAAAGGCAAGGAGCTAAACTGAGCCTGAGTGATGCTCTGTACTAACCGCAGAAGCATGACAGACCCAGAACAACACAAAATCCCCCAAAACATCAGTTCTATTTCAGAAGCAAGGCCAGGTAACCAAGAACTGCAAAACTGAAGGAGGAATTGATATGTGGGTGATTTTGGAGGCGTCGCTACCTGCCAGGTGAATGGTCCTCTCTCACGGTGGGAAGGCAGGTTGTCTTGGTTTCGTGCCTTGAATGGGCACAGGTGCCACCACCTGCCGTAACCACAGCTCCGCACCTGCCTTGGCATTCAGACGGTGACAGTTTGTTGGAGCAAGAGATGGACAACAGGCTGCTGATAGCATCTGGGAGGGCTGTGGCAGCCAGGGATAGGTTGCCAAGAGCGAGAGGGAGAGAGAGCTTGAGCAAAGTTGTGCCAACAGCTCTATATCAGTGCCATGGCTCATTATGAGCAAAGCCTATAGCTCTGAGCACTTCAGAAACCAGGCAAGAGGTCTGCCCATCAGATGGAGCATCAACACACTGGAAATTTGGTGACTGGCAGGTGTGAGGTCCTTCTGGCAAACCTGGAGGTATGGTGTTCTCATTCTTAGATAGATAGATAGATAGATAGATAGATAGATAGATAGATAGATGATAGATAGATGATAGATAGATAGATACATTTTCTGTTTTACAATTTAGAATATTCATTTAAACAACTGAAATATACTCAGAGTCGGGCGTGGATTTCATGCTCTTTATTCAGCTCATAGTGGTGAGGAGGAATGGAATTTCTCCCAGAATGTCTGCTTTATATACATTATTTACACAATGGACCTCACGTGATTGGCTGTTCATGTTGTTGTTGTTGTTGCTTAGTCATTTAGTCGTGTCTGACTCTTTGTGGCCCCATGGACCAGAGCACGCCAGGCCCTCCTATCTTCCACGGCCTCCCGCAGTTTGGTCAAACTCATGCTGGTAGCTTCGAGAACACTGCCCACCCATCTCGTCCTCTGCCGTCCCCTTCTCCTTGTGCCCTCCATCTTTCCCAACATCAGGATCTTTTCCAGGGAGTCTTCTCTTCTCATGAGGTGGCCAAAGTATTGAAGCCTCAGCTTCAGGATCTGTCCTTCCAGGGAGCACTCAGGGCTGATTTCCTTAAGAATGGATACGTTTGATCTTCTTGCAGTCCATGGGACTCTCAAGAGTCTCCTCCAGCACCATAATTCAAAAGCATCAATTCTTCGGCGATCAGCCTTTTTTATGGTCCAGATCTCACTTCCATATATCACTACTGGAAAAACCATAGCTTTAACTATACGGACCTTTGTTGGCAAGGTGATGTCTCTGCTTTTTAAGATGCTGTTTAGCCCCTTCATGGGGAATTGTAGTTCTGTGAGGGGAATTACAACTCTTGGCATCCTTAACAGACAACAGCTCCCAGAATTCATTGGGGGAAGCCATGATTGTTTCAAGTGGTTTCATAGCACTACTGTGAACGTGGCCTAAGGAGGAGGAAGCTTGCAGGCAGAGCTACTCATTGGATTCATAAACAGGAAGGCAGGTACATGGGGGGTAGTTGAAGGCTAGCTGGGGTTGGTGGTGCCATGCCCCATTTGCCCTAGTAGACCAAATTCCAGTAGTATAGAGTTTCGCTTTTTTTCAGTTGTTTCGTCTCCTCCTATGGCTGAGAAGGAAACTTCTCTCCCCCTTACAATTGGCCAATAGCAGCATAGGGAAAACCATGTCAGAGGAATCAGTCTTGTACCTGGTTACACCATTGACCTGTCCAGCTCTGTATGGCAGGGGTCAGCAAACTTTTTCAGAAGGGGCCGGTCCATTGTCCCTCAGACCTTGTGGGGGGCCGGGCTATATTTTGGAAAGATATATGAACGAATTCCTATGCCCCACAAATAACCCAGAGATGCATTTTAAATAAAAGGACACATTCTACTCACGTAAAAACACACTGATTCCCGGACCGTCTGCGGGCTGGATTGAGAGGGCGATTCGGCTGGATCCAGCCCCCGGGCCTTACTTTGCCTACCCAAGCTGTATGGTCTACGGCAGCGGCAGGGGAGCTAAAGCCCTCGAGAACTTCAACTCCCATGGCCAAACGGTTGTTGGATGATGGGAGTTGTAGTCCAACAACAGCGGGAGGTTCCACAGGTTCCCTTTATCCTTGACACACATTTCACATTCTTTGGTGGGAGCCATCAGGACTCTTCTTATGTCCGTAATGAGTATATACAGCTGCCAGCCATCAGTTTTGTTTTCTTCCTTTCATCCACCAAAGGAAATAACTGTCCTCAAGTCTACCCTAATTTCCATCTTTTTCTTGATAGGTTGTTCCATGGTACTGTTTCCATATGGCCCACTGTTTGCAAGCAGCATTGTACTGCAAGCATTTCAGCATTTGCAAGATGTAAGTGAATATGTAGGTCACTGTGACAAGCTTCAGAGGGTACCTGGGTTTTGGCAAAGGTAGGGCCTTTGACCAGCCAGCAAACTGTCACTCAAGTGCTGCTTCTAAAATACTCTCCTTGCATTGAGCTAATCTCCATTCAGGACAGGGATAATGGAGATGCACACACACACACACACACACACACACACACAACCTCAAAAAGGAAACTGTAAAGTTGGAAAGCGTTCAGGAAAGGACAACCAAAATGATCAAGGGGAAGAAGCCAATCCCCGATGTGGAAAAGTTACAACATTTGGAGTGTTTTAGTTTGGAGAAAGGGCAAGTAAGAGGGGACATGATAGAAGTTTATAAGATTAGGCACGGCTGAGAGAAAGTGGACAGAGAAAAGGTTTCCTCCTTCTCTCATAACACTAGGGACTCAGCTATATTAGTTTTTTTAAAAAAGTGTTTTACATGAGTTATAACACTGTGAAACCAGATGGCACTGTAGAGTTCGATCCTTCGGCAACGTGATTCCCATTAGGAGCTTTCCAACGCATTTTCCTGATATTTTAATTTTTTTTAATGTGTCTAGATCCAGCCGAGAACTCAGGCATGGCGGCTTGCCCCCGCACTTGAGTGGGCTGGCGCCATGTGATATTTTAAGGTTGTTTCAATGAATATTCTAAAATGTGAAACAGAAAATTAATAAAATTATAGGGGGGGGAGAGAAATAGATTACTGCAATGAACTCTACATAGGGCTATCCTTGAATATGGTCTGGAAGCTGCAGCTAGTGCAGAACTCTGTCACTTGGTTATTGTATTGCAGGGGGGAGAACCAAGAGAGGAGGAGGAGGAAGAGAAGAAGAAGAAGAAGAAGAAGAAGAAGAAGAAGAAGAAGAAGAAGAAGAAGAAGAAGAAGAAGAAGAAAGAAAAGTAGTAAAAATTTAATAGTGCAAGACAATGGTGGAATAAAATCATTTTGGAGAGAGGCTGTATAAAACAGACTACACACACTGACCATAAAACAAGCTCCTGAGACTAGAACTGTTCAATGGGGATGGGATCCACTGCCTCTGCTAAGAATATGCAAGCAACACTTAAGACGCTCCAACTCAAAAATGCAAACAGCAGCAAGTTGAAATCAAAAAGAATAAATGAGAAATGACTGTGATTTGGAAGAAAGGGTGTGGATGGGGTAGAAGAGTGTGGAGGGAGCAAAATACAAACAGCAGCAATATTAAATCAAAGGGAATAAATGAAAAAGATCCAGAAGGGTTTGGAAGGAAAGGGACTGGTTTCAATTTGGAAGGGAAGCAAATGAAAAGTCTTCAATGGCTCCACCACAGTTCCATATATATATAATGCCCCTCAGAGGCAGAACTTGGAGAAAAGCAAGAAGCATGTGAAATCAAAGCTACCGGTATTTATTTCCTTCAGCATTTTCCCCCACCAAAAGCACTGGGATTGGAGAGCCCTGGCAAAACAATTCCCTCTATTTCCATTGCTTCAGTTTGGGGCATACAGACTCTTGAATAAAATAAAATATTTTCATCATGACAATAAAATACAAGAATGCATTATATTAGGGGAAATTGCTTTGCTAGACAAAATTGCATACAAGGATGTGAAATTTGCACTAGAATATTGATGTGTTTTCAGGAGGTTTTTCTTAGGGAGGAAAGGCTCAGCAACAGACACTGGGCTCAGAAATCACAATTCAGGAGCTCAGGAGAAGTTAAGAAATAGAGGAAAGCAATGAGGATGTTCCAACAAGTTTCCCTGCTCCTCCTGCCAAGCTTTTAAGGCATGACGTGTTCACTCACAAGACTCTCTCGTCTTGTGGGAATGTCAAACTTGCAAGGATGTGCTGTGTAAGGGTGGGTGAAGGTGGCATCTGGTTCTAAATGACCAGGCTGCACCCTCCTGTTCTGGCTCCTCTATTGCTGATGCCCTCCTGCTTCCCCACTCAGTTGATTGCACCTTCTCCAACCTCCCCTGTGGTTCTCCACTCCGCAGCAAGTTCAGGGGATGGAAGAGTCAGCATCCCTATTCCCCCTTCCATAGCAGTGGATATCAGAACACACAAGAGAGAGACAGCCCTTCCTCCAACCCATGTACCCACCATTCAGTGGCCTCCTCTGTTTCTTCCTCCTTCTACACCGGCGCTTGCCAATCCAACCCCAACCTTGATGCCATTGCAGGGTTTATGACAGTCGGATGCTCTCTGGTGTGCTGCAGGATGCAACCCTGCAATGAGAACCGAACTCCAATACAACTGGACTTCTGTACATGTGTGGGTTTAGGGTGCTATCTAGTCCTTTGCCACAGGCAGCAATGTGTCCTGCCCAACTTTCAGGGCAAACCCTCACAAAGGTGGGTGTGAGAAACTTCAGTGACATCCCTGCTGAAAAGGGTGAAACAGATGGAGAAGCCCCGTTCCAAGTTCTGCCCTTCTAACTAACAGCTATTGCTTATGACTGGCAATGGAAGCAAGTCTCGGATCAGAAATCTTGTTCCCTCTCCACTTCTGAGACAGGAAATTTGCGGGTGATAAAGGTCTCGAGGATGCAGAAGGTCATAAAGGATATTGGAATAAGGGACAGAAAGTGCACTCAGCATGTAGCAATGCAGGGAGATATGAGAGATCCAGATAACTGGAGTTTGCCTGTTGAACATCCAAGTCCTAAATAGACCACCTTCATGTCCTTTAAATGGAGAAGGGTGATTTTGGAGAGATGTTCATCTGTACTTAGCTGTACTGCAGAACTAGGGGCCAAATGTGGCCATCCATACTTCTCTTTCTGGTCTTTGGGACACTCCCCAGTTCACTCCCAACCACAAGGGGAGCCCCGTGTAAACAGCATTCCAGCAATTTGGTTTTGACGTTAGCAATGCCTCGACTGCTGTAGACTGCTGTAGACTGCTGTAGTCATGCTCTCCCTGTTCAGGCAGCATTTGGGGAGTTATTTGATCAGGGCAATTTCACTTACGTGAGAGTAAGCCCTGGTGAATTCAACAGGATTACTTCTGAGTAGACACAGTTAGGGTTTGTGGTGTTAATCTTTTTTTAAGCAGTTCATGGCCAACACTCACACAGAGAGAGAGACATAAAATGAGTCTGCTGGATCTCTGTGGGTCAGGCCCATAGCTCATTTAGTCCAGCATTCTGTTCTCACAGTGGCCAACCGGATGCCTATGGAAAACCAACAAGCTGCGCATGAGTGCAGCAGCACTTTGCCCACCTGCGACAACCAGCAAAAAGATCTTTAGATCAGAGTTTGCAGGACTGACAAATTCCAGCTGTCAGACTGGCCTGAAAAAAGATGTCAACAGCATCAGACTCAGCCGTGCCGCAAAGTTATGCGCCATGTCACTGAGTGTAACACTGGACTCCCATGTGAGCTAGGTAGCAAAGCCTTTCATATTGATTGGCTATCAGGCAACTTGCTCTATTTGCACATTTCCCCCTGCAAGTGTTTTAGCTGAGATAGGATGAGGACCAAAGGCTGACAGTTTGGCAGGCCTGCAATTAATGCCTTGCCGTTTCCAGGACACGCTCTGCTGAAAACAATAAACGACCCCGGCAGGAAGACAGAATGGGGGTAGCAGGAAGGAGGGAGAATGGGACTGTCACGGTCCAGTCAAAGTCCTGGCGGAAGACGTCAGGACCAGGGGCAAGATGGAGGGGTGGGAGCAGGAATGAGAGTCCGGAAACCAGGAGTCAGGAAGCCAAGGGTCCAAGGATCAGGAAACTAGGAGTCAAGAAGCCAAACGCAGCAAGGCAGGAAGCGTGTTGATATGGCAAAGGTAAAGGTAAAGGTAAAGGTAAAGGGACCCCTGACCATTAGGTCCAGTCGTGACCGACTCTGGGGTTGTGGCGCTCATCTCGCTTTGTTGGCCGAGGGAGCCAGCGTACAGCTTCTGGGTCATGTGGCCAGCAGGACTAAACCGCTTCTGGCGAACCAGAGCAGTGCACGGAAACGCCGTTTACCTTCCCGCCGGAGCGGTACCTATTTACCTACTTGCACTTTGACGTGCTTTCGAACTGCTAGGTTGGCAGGAGCAGGGACTGAGCAACAGGAGCTCACCCCGTCACGGGGATTCGAACCGCCGACCTTCTGATCGGCAAGTCCTAGGCTCTGTGGTTTAGCCCACAGCGCCACCCGCGTCCCTGCTATGGCGAAGAGCCAAAGGGAAATGCTGACTGTATATCCCTTCCCAGCTCTTGCCACCAGGTGCTGTGAGTTACCAATCGGCCTCACCTGTGCGGCTGTGCCTTGCCTCTTCAGAACAAACTTAGGAAGGCCCCAGTCCTGCGAAGCCCAACCGGTCACAGGGCCTGGCTCCTGCACGCACTCCTGACAGGGACTTTGTGGCCTCCAGGACAACCATGGGGCTATCTCAAATGGTCATTGGTCAAACACACCAGGCAAAGTACACCTTGTTATTGTCGTTATCCTGATTGCTATGAGTTTTCAAGGACAGGTATCTGGAGGGGAGAACGGAGGCAGCATGCAGTCTTCAGACCACCTGGAACCTGCCAGACTGTGGATTTTGAAGTGGACATAAGACAGTAAAAAGAGCCTACTGGATCAGGCCAATGGTCCGTCCAGTACAGAATCCTGTTCTGATGGTGGCCAACCTATGAGAAACTTGCAATCAGGGCACAAGCACAAGAGCACTCTCCCCTCCTGTAATTTACAGCAATGACCTAGGTTTCCTGCTCCTAAACATGACTGTGCCAGAGGTACAAGTGAAGATGGAATATTTTTTATTTCAATTCTGAGTCATTTTTTTTCTAGTGCCCACTGGACACTCTAAGTCCTCATTGGGCTATTTAGGAGGGGCATAACTCCATTTTAGGTTCCCTCCCCCTTATATCTTTTTGAGGGAGTGTCAGTGCTCATATTTCACTTACATTAAAAAAAAATCTGCATTTCTCCATTGGTTTTCTCTGTAGAACTCTCACTTCCATCCCTGGGGACATTTAAAAATAGCTTTTCAGAGTGAATCACAAAATGACCTATCCAAACAATGAGATGGTTCTCTCTAACTTTTTTATACCTATGCATATCTCCCTCTTGGTCCCCTTTCCCAAGTGACTCCATTTAATTTGCCCTCTCTGCTTTTCAATCCCTGCTGTCTTTTCTTTGGTTGTCATTCTGTGCCCACTGAGGGTGCTCAGTCTGCATTGGTACTGGGGTGGGTGTAAAATCCAAGTTTGGGGCAAGTACTCTTTGCTGAGGGAGCACCAGCAGAGATTTAAAGTTCAAAATATGCAGCAAAGTGTGGAAATATAGGCTGTTAGACCTTTAAAATATGCCCTTTTGAGTGAGTTCCAAAATTACCCTTTTCTCCCAACATAGGAAAAGACCACATGTTTGGTAAGTTAAGAATTAGATTACTTACAAACTCTTCAAAGGTCTGGTTCATGTGCTTTTACATACCTCAGTCAGACAAGTTGCACAAGCAGTAAAACTTAGTGGTAAAAATTCCTAGATTATTGGCATAGGAACTCAAAAGAGGCTGGTGAGAGCCATACGGTTGAGCTGGAGCAGCCAGCTCAAACCTCTCCACACACTGAGCTTCTCAGGTAGATTTGTGGGGGGGAAACAGGCTTGTTTACCTATTTCCAACGATGGTAAGGGGAGTGACATAGCTAAGCCTGGCAGGACAGCTTACTCTATGGTATTAACCCTTTCATGCATTAATTGGACTGAAGCATGTTGGTTATATGGGACTGGTTATCCCACAATTAGACTGTTTGGATGTCCTCCAACCAAGCCCCATAACAGTTTTTTCTAAAGTTTTTTCTGTATTTCTGAAAACTTTGGAATACCCATTCCCCAAGTCTTTTTCCTTTTGTGAATGGATGGTGCAATTCTGGCTACATAAGCACAGGCACTCAGAGAGTGTACACTGGGCACCATTTCCACGAGCTTGTTGGTTTATGCAAGCTCTTTCATTTCATACTATAGGAAATTTATTTCTTACTTCATGTTTATGCGAGCCGTGCCTTTCCATTTTCCTCTTCAAATATATTCAGCTTTTCCCTCTTATTATCTTGGATCATTAGCTTGCATCCCGTTATGTAATGCGATCGCTGGAGCCTGTTAGAATATGTCACAATGCAAGATTGTGTCTCAAGCAGAGCATTTAAGGGAAAAATTATTTTCTCTCTGCTGTGGCATTATTACAGTGAGGAATTCAAAGACTGAGCTGTTTCCCTTGTTGCATCTGCAGGAAGGAACGATGATTTTTGCTAGCTTTACCACTAACTTGTATCTCTCTCTCTCACACACACACATTGCAACAAGGTTATTCAACGTGTAGCTAGGTAGGGCAAGTTATGAAGGGTGCTAGACTCTTTCTTTTAGATTGCCTTTGCAATACAGTGGTACCTCGGGTTAAGTACTTAATTCGTTCCGGAGGTCCGTTCTTAACCTGAAACTGTTCTTAACCTGAAGCACCACTTTAGCTAATGGGGCCTCCTCCTGCTGCTGCACCGCCGGAGCACAAATTCTGTTCTCATCCTGAAGCAAAGTTCTTAACCCGAGGTACTATTTCTGGGTTAGTGGAGTCTGTAACCTGAAGTGTCTGTAACCCAAGGTACCACTGTATTGCTCAGGGGAGACTAGTCCAGTTAAGGTAAATGGGGCACTGCCTTACCAACCTTAGTCAGTTCTCAGTCAACCCATTCACCTGCCTGGCTTTGTAATTGCAACCAATTCAGGGGGTAGGATTGCCCATCATTTTTTCTTACTTCTAAGTCTTGGCCTTGGCCTTGGCCTTGTGTATTCAACAGGGAGGACCATGGAGGCAAAACCGGAATGGAAGTCATTCCCACAGGAGGCAGTGATAGCCACCAAATTGGGTGGCATTAAAAGAGGATTGGGTAAATTGATGGAGAAGAAGGCAATCATTGACTGCTAGTCATGATGCCTCTGCTGGTTTACAAAGCCATTGTACTACCAACCTTACTGTATGCTTGTGAAACGTGGACCACTTATAAACGCCATCTCCAACTCCTTGAAAGATTCCATCAACGGTGTCTCTGAAAAATTCTACACATCACTTGGGAAGACAGGCAAACTAATTCCAGTGTACTGTAAGAAGCAAAGATCACCAGTGTCAAAGTGATGATTCTTCAACATCAACTTCGTTGGACTGGTCATGTTGTGCGGATGCCTGATTATCATCTTTCAAAGCAACTACTCTATTTTGAACTTAAAAATGGAAAGCGTAATGCTGGTGGTCAACAAAAGAGGTTTAAATATTCACTCAAAGCAAATCTAAAAAAAAGTAGTATAAACACCAACAATTGGGAAACACTGACCTGCGGGCGTTCCAATTGGAGAACAGCCTTTTCCGAAGGAGTTACGGACTTTGAAGACACTCAAACTCAGGACGGAAGGGAGAAATGTGCTAAGAGGGAGGAATGCTTGGCAAACCCTCACCATGATCAACTCCCGCCCAGAAAGCTATGTCCCCACTGTGGAAGGATGTGTGGATCCAGAATTGGCCTCCTCAGTCACTTAGGGACTCACTGTTAAAACAGTGTTCATGGAAGACAATCTCACTCAGCTACAAGTGATCGCCACAGAAGAAGAAGCTTCCTCCACTGTCAGAAGCACTATGCCTCTGAATACCATTGTTTGGAATAGCAGGTGGGCCCAGTGCTCTTCCACTCATTTTCCTCTCACGGGCTTCCCATAGGCATTTGGTTGGCCACAAAATGCAATTGTCGAAATTTGGCAGCGTTCAGCAGCTGACATGCAATAGCAGTTAGTATTTTATACTGTTTGGTTGAAGTTGTGCCTTTTGTAATTTCATATATTTTATACAAACTCCATGGGTCCATTTAGCCTAACCAATAAAAGCAGTCAAATTTCAAACCTTGGTCTTTTCACATCTCAGAAATCCAGGTTTCAAATTCCAAGCAAACTTTAGTGCCATCTGAATTTCGCAAAATATCACTTCCGTTCTAGCTCTTAGGGAACTGAAACTGAACAAACCATTGTTGACAGAATTGAATCAAGAATCCTGCATCATATGAATCAAATACTGACCCTTTAACAATGCTCTTGGGCTATATCAGTGCTTCCCCCCCCCCGGGGGATACTCAAGTGTACGCAGTACCAGCACCTTTCCACCCCAAATGTTAAAAGTGTGTAACAACTTCATGGTGAATAGTGGCACTTCCCCCCCCCTTTTTTTAAAAAGTGCACTGGTTATGCTAATGATGTGCGTATGAAATGCTTTGGTTAATTCAAAATATCTTCGCAGCTGCCTGATTAGTGGTAGCACAAATATGAAAATCTATCAAAACACCTATGGAATTTTATGGAAGATTGGTGGCCAGTAATTTGGAAACTGAACCTGTTAATTAGGCAAAGCCAAATCACTGCAAAACTTCAGTAGTGGCTGGTACAGTCAAACCTCGGTTCCCAAACGCCTCCGTTTTGGAATGTTTCGGCTCCTGAATGCTGAAAACCTGGAAGTAACTGCTCCGGTTTTCAAACGATTTTTGGAAGCTGAGCATGCTACGCTGCTTCCGTTTTGAGTTTCCCTATTGTATTGAGGCTTCCGCTTTCAGTTTTCAGTTGTCGAACATTTCAGAAGTCGAACGGTCTTCCAGAACGGATTACGTTCGACAACCGAGGTTTGAGTGGATTGAAACTGCCCTTTAAAGATGAATGGGAACCCTTTACAAAGTATTTGAAGACGCAACAAAGTGAACTGGACTCCTTGGCTGGTTTTGAATAAACGTTCACAAACTTTATTGATTCACAAATTATTATTGATAATAATCAGCTAAATAGTTTGAGCATCTATACAACTGTGTAACATGCAGAAAACAGCATTTTTAGAGAAATCAAAGACTGGAACTGAGGGAAGTCGGGGGGTGGGGGTGGGTGGGAGGAAAAATGGGAGGAATAAGGATGATATGTTTTTGGATAATATCTTTTGTTTTAATTTTGAATAAAAAAGTTATTAAAAAAAGAAAAGAAACTGCCCTTCTAACTCAAGCTTATATGAACTGGGCTGGGGTTGAGCAGGGTTGTAGCAACTTCAGGGCTGTGTGCACAGGGGCATCTTACCCATAGAGGCTAGTGGCGCAGGGCGCCAGGGCACCAAGTTCTGGAGGGTGCCAGGGAAGAGGCGGGGGCTGGACGCGGCGCCTCCCGGCATCAGCTTGCCATTCTCGCCCGCCTCCGCCATGCCGCACCAAAGCAGCGCAGCACCCAGAGCCTCCACCTGTTGTGGCCCCCGCAGCACAAAGCAGCCAGCTGAGCCGGGAGCCGCCGTGTCCTCCGCCTCTGCCCCACCGGAGGAGCTGCCCTCCATCCACTGCCCACCTCCTCCAGCCCCACAAAGTTGGGCGCGTCACTGGCAGTGCCTTCCTCCCTAAAAAAGTTTGGCAACTTTGGGAAATGGGTGGGGAGGCTGCCAGAGGGATCTTTGGCCACAGCACCAGATATGCTTAAGACGGCCCTGTGTGTGAATGCATTTGTGGAAGCACTGAATTGGTTCCACCAGTGCATCCACACAGCCCAACCTTGCTGCCACCTTTCCCCTTCCCAATCCAGGTATGCTGCAGCAATGCTGCCGTTGGGTGGCTGACTCCATCCTACTGCAATGGCCCCATGAAAAATTATATGCTTGAACTCCATGCCTCAGAAGAAATTGCTTGTTGTTTGTTTGTTCCTTTGCTTGCTTGCTTGCTTTTATGCTAAATGAACCAAAATTAAAGTGAGCAAACAGGGAGGGTAATTGCAATTATTTCCTTCTTCTTTTTTTAGGAAGGGGGAGGGTGCTCTGCTTTGTGTTTTGATTATGACAAATCAACAAAGCCATAATAAGAATAGAAGATTTTGCCTATAAAGACTTAGATCCTAGCAGTTAGTAAGTAAATACTTCGGGGGTGAGGCTGTCAAGGTTCATAATTACCTAGCTCATCATAATATAAACTGCTTCATCTCATAATATTCAGTTGCATTATATGGGGATGGGCAAATCTGTTAATTTAAGTTTCTCTCTGTTTGTCATTTTTCTTCCATTCTTAAGTTCTACCCTCCACATTTCCACATCAGTTTGCAACTTTAAAAAGTTCTCGTGGAAATTTGTCAGCGTTTTTGTGCAAATTTCCACTACTGCATACATGTTCATATGCAATTTTGCAAAAATGTACATTGTTGCAAACCATTTCCCGCTAATATAATGCACCCTTGTATATTATTTTCACAAATGTGTGCATTTAAATATACACTTTAGCTTAGCAGATGCATTTTTGTACACATTACTTGGCTCAAGAACTACACTGCAAAATTCAGATAAATGTACATTTTGAAAGAGAGCTATGTTTTGGTCCGCCTATTGTTATGGAAATTGCAAATTAGGTGAATTTGCCTTTAAATGTGAACTGAATAAACGTTGTCCCTCATCCCATGTCTCTGGCCAGTGACCTTCTTCTCTCCCCCCCCCCTTTCTTAAGTGAGAAAATGAATATAAAAGATTGCATCTAAGAGGCCAGGTAATTATAAAAGCTGTACTGTGGATCAAAGGAAGCCCACAGAGCACAGCATAAACACACACCATTCCCCTGGTGCTCTGGCAATCTGCTGATCATCCATAATGTGTGAGCAACAGACGAGAGGGCCAAGGTGAAATTCACAAGGCCTAGCCAAGTGTGAGCACATGAGGAGGTACCTGACTAATCCTTCACCTGATTTCGCCCTCTGCCTTGCTACAAGCACGCAGGCTTCTTGAGCAAGTGGAGACAAAAACAAACAAAGATCCAGAGTTGCAGGCACAGCCCATCCTTAATTGCCCATCCTTTGGCGCTCATCCTTTAGCAACGCTTCGGGAACCCAGTTCCTGCAAACCACAGCAGGGGAGAGGTCTTGTGAGCTCAGGTTCCTGCTTGCAGGTTTCTGACAGGCGCCTGGGTGCCCACTGTGAGAACAGCATGCTGGACTAGATGGGCCATTGGCCTGGTCCAGTAGGCTCTCGTCATGCTCTTATGTTCATCATTGCTCTTCCACTGCCTCTACTGCTAGAGGCAGGGCGTCTCTGAATGCCAGGTGCTGCGAATCACAAGCGGGAAAAGTGCTCTTGTGCTCGGGTCCTGCTACAGAGGCAGATACAGGGGAGTGTGGGCGATTCAGGGACTGCAAGACAGAGCCTGTTCCACCAGGCCTTTGGCCAAGGCACAGTCTGACCCCCTCCTTTGGTAATCCTCACAGAACTCTAGCCCAGTGGTTGCCATTCATTTGATTTTGAATTGGTTTTAGAATGCATTTCAATCAATTGATTGTGATTTTATGTAAATTGTGTTGCTTTTATTGTTAGCCGCTCTGAGCCTGGCTTTGGCTGGGGAGGGCGGGATATAAATAAAATATTATTATTATTATTATTATTATTATTATTATTATTATTGGCACGGGTGCTGCCAACTAGGGACCTGGGGGTCACGGGAACTCCAAAATATTCAAGGAGGGGACCAAGCCCCCTCAAAATTCTGCAGCAGCTATGCACGGTCAGCGTGCTCACATCGCTCATGCGCACCACACGACATGTGCATGACACGGCATGCCCCACACGGCGTGCACGCATGGTGTGGCCCCAGCCCTCTCAATCACAGAGGCAAGCTTGTGCACTTGCTCACTGGGCACCAAGTCGAGAGGATGCTGTAGGGGGTGCTGGAAAAACAATGAAAAATGGAAGGTGAGAATGGAGGGGGTGCCGGATGTTGGTGTGTCGTTAACATATGAGAGAGTTCTGGAGGTGAAATAGTTAAACAGGTTGCCCAGTCAGGACCCAGGAGGGTGGAGTCAGTGGGACTATAAAACCAGCTCTGGGAGGGGCAAAGGGGAGAGTTCGTTGAGGAGTTCGTTGGGTGGTTGGTTGGAGTGGGAGTGAATTGGGCTAGAGTTGTGGGTAGGATGAGTTAGTGTAGCGAAATAGGCTGAGTCAGGAACAGTTAGGGGCTAGGAAGACAAGTAAATATCTGAGAGGTGGTTTAGTGAGTGAGAGCAGGTAGCGGAAGTTATAGGTCTGGATAGGCACCCCATGAATGTAATTGACTGATACAGTGGTACCTCGGGTTACATACGCTTCAGGTTACAGACTCTGTTAACCCAGAAAGAGTACCTCGGGTTAAGAACTTTGCTTCAGGATGAGAACAGAAATTGCGCAGCAGCAGCGTGGCAGCAGTGGGAGGCCCCATTAGCTAAAGTGGTGCTTCAGGTTAAGAACAGTTTCAGGTTAAGAACGGACCTCTGGAACGAATTAAGTACTTAACCTGAGGTACCACTGTACTGTTTATGAAACCACACGCGTGTTAAACTGCAATAAATAAACAAAAGTTTATGTTCCAATTTAACCCTGACTGGACTCAGTATTGTCCCAAGTAGGGCTTGGGTGGTGGCAGCGAGAATTCAAGTGGTGGCACAGGGATCAATAGATGGTGAAACTTCCGGGGACCCTGTGTGATCGCCACAGTTGGCATTGCACAAGGCGCCACTGGAATTTTTAAGCCCCAAGTCCACCACTGCCTCCTTGCAGGCTTCCCGTGGGCATCTGGTTGGCCACTGTGAGTACCGGATGCTGGACTAAATGGGCCCATGGCCTGATACATCAGGGCTATATAATATAATAATAATTTATTATTTATACCCCGCCCATCTGGCTGAATTTCCCCAGCTACTCTGGGTGGCTCCCAATCAAATGTTAAAAACAGTACAGCATTAAATATTAAAAACTTCCCTGAACTTCAGATGTCTTTTAAAGATAGAATAGCTGCTTATTTCCTTCACATCTGAAGGGAGGGTGTTCCACAGGGTGGGCGCCACTACCGAGAAAGCCCTCTGTCTGGTTCCCTGTAACTTCGCAATGAGGGAACCACCAGAAGGCCCCCAGAGCTGGACCTCAGTGTCCGGGCTGAACAATGGGGGTGGAGACGCTCCTTCAGGTATACAGGACCGAGGCTGTTTAGGGCTTTAAAGGTCAGCACCAACACTTTGAATTGTGCTCGGAAACGTACTGGGAGCCAATGCAGGTCTCTCAGGACCTGTGTTATGTGGTCCCGGCGGCCAGTCCCAGTCACCAATCTAGCAGCTGCATTCTGGATTAATTGCAGTTTCCAGGTCACCTTCAAAGGTAGCCCCACATAGAGCGCATTGCAGTAGTCCAAGCGGGAGATAACTAGAGCATGCACCACTCTGGCGAGACAGTCCGCGGGCAGGTAGAGTCTTAGCTTGCATACCAGGTGGAGCTGGTAGAGAGCCGCCCTGGGCACAGAATTAACCTGCGCCTCCATGGACAGCTGTGAGTCAAAAATGACTCCCAGGCTGCGCACCTGGGTCCTTCCTTTGTTCTTGTATGCTTATGTTCTCTGCCTGCCCCGCCTCTTCTTCTTGCCATTATTGATTCAGAAAAGGCACATTGGCCAGGCCCACCTGGGCACTACCATTTGAGACTGCGTGTGGGCAGAATGGGTGTGTGTGTGCATGTCTGAACATTTCCCGTCTTGTGTGATGAGGGAGGCTTCCTTGCATGAAAAAGCAGCATGTGGTGGGAATTAGCAATCCCATATTTGGAAACTGTGCTCTGCCACTAAGCTCTAGAGAGGGTTGTAAGCTCGGTGGTACAACAACTGTTTTGTGAGCAGAAGGTCCCAGATTCAATTCATGGGAAAGCCACTTCCGAGCTGGAGAGGAGGTGGGGTTGCGGGCTTCACACCCTCCCCCACGTGCACGGGGGCTGGCTCACAGCCCCCGCGAGATTGAGGGAATCCTCGGCCGCGTCATCTTTCTTGCCAGCCAATCGGCTGGCTCGGGAGGCATGGCCCGCGCTATTTAGGGCCGGCTTGGCTGAGGATTTTCCTCTTTCATCGCTCCAGCTGATCCGGTTTCCCATCCCTCCCACCCTTTAGGTCAGGCTCTCTGACATTGCTATGGACTTTGGTTGGTCGCCGTCAAGGGGCCTGGTAGGAATTTTTTCCACTTGGCAAATTGGCTCTAGCCATTTGGTTTTTCGCCTACCTCGTAGCAAATCGTCACAACTCCGCGGCATTGGAGGTTAGGCATTGGTAAGGGTATTGTTATGTAGATGAGAGGGGGGGAGGAAGCGCCATCACCTCCCCCGGATTGCGAAGGGTAGTCCGGTAAAGGATTCCGGGGGGCGTGGCCCTGTCCGAAGCCTATGGAGGTAAGGGCCTAAGGCACGCCCCCAAGCGGTGACCCCGGGGGAGCTCCTAGTTGATGTGCATCAGCAGGACTCCCCCTGCTGGCGGTTAACCCTTCCCAGTCTTCAAGCAATCAGGCTGAAGCCGGATAGTCGATAGGACCAATGCCTAAGCCAATACCTCTCATCACCTGTAACCAATAAAGTTGTGGCCATTTTTAGCCCATTAACCTAAAATGATGTGTCACATGTCTTTATTTCCAATGGGGGGAAGCGGGAACTCGCCACGCAAAGACTCCCTTTCTGAAACACTGCAGTGCTGCTGCCAGCCAGAGTAGACAGTCCTGAGCTTGAGGGACCAATGACCTGATGGTATAAGGCAGCTTATTTTCCTGCAAATTCATGTGAGTAAGCCCAGATGTAGAGCTATAAGCAGGGACCGTATTACCTCCCCATGCGCTAGTGAAAACAACGTTTTAATCGTGGGGCGAAAGGAGCCAAATGTTTTCATTGCAGTCATCTCTGTATTATGAGAGCTCCTGGTGCTGCTGCTGTTGACAGCAAATGATGTTATTCTGCTTTCCATGTTCTGCCCATAAATGCCGTTTGAGAGCATCAGCAGCTTGCTGCTCAGAGCCATAACTGTCTGAGAGCACATGAGCTGAAATGCCCCCTCCAGAACAGCAGATGTTTGCTGACTTCGTCCTTCCAAAGCTTGCCTGCTCAGGCTGTGGAACCCAGCCATAGGAGAGCTGCCGTCAGAAAGTCAATTTCCATCTCCTATATTTGGGAGACAGGGCTGCAGCGTAAGCCCACCCTTCCCCATATGTGTCGAATGCAGACTTTCTACAAGCTAGCCCAAAGGACGCATGGGCTGATTTAAATGCAAGCGGGTTTAGTGGTGCATCAAGGTGTCAGTCTTTCATTTGCAGCATCTGCGTCCTGGAAAGTATTTGGCTTGTGTTTGGTGAAGCAGGGATGCAACGTTAGGAGCTGCAAAGGACATTGGGTAAGGGCCCAAGGGCTTTGGAGTGACATCCTAAGGAATGGAATAAAACGAAACTGGAGGTGTCCCTTCCCCTAGGAATAAATGCTGGCAAACTAAATGTGAGAAATATACAGAACATCAGGTATACAAACATAGAAAACATTAGATACAGATTTGGATGTATTCACAACTTACACAATGGAGGCTGGCCCATATGGGTAAATGGGGACACTGCTCCACCTATCTCAGTTCTCCCTCAGCCCACTTTCCTTCTTGCAAACAACCCAGGGGATGGCACTGCTTTTCAGCTTCCTCCTCTTCAGTCTCCCTTGTTCAACTCGACAAGGACGGTGACAAAACCAGAGTTAGGCTGTGTTTAAAAAAGTAAAGGGACCCCTGACCATTAGGTCCAGTCGTGGCCGACTCTGGGGTTGTGGCGCTCATTTCACTTTACTGGCTGAGGGAGCTGGCATACAGCTTCCGGGTCATGTGGCCAGCATGACTAAGCCACTTCTGGCGAACCAGAGCAGCGCACGGAAACGCCATTTACCTTCCCGCCACAGCAGTACCTATTTATCTACTTGCACTTTGACATGCTTTCGAACTGCTAGGTTGGCAGGAGCAGGGACCGAGCAACGGGAGCTCACCCCGTCGCAGGGATTCAAACCGCCGACCTTCTGATCGGCAAGTCCTAGGCTCTGTGGTTTAACCCACAGCGCCACCTGCGTCCACATTCTAATAATAATAATAATAATAATAATAATAATAATAATAAATTTTATTTATATCCCGCCCTCCCCAGCCAAAGCCGGGCTCAGGGTGGCTAACAACAATCAAATAATCAAACAATCAAATAATCCAACATTCTAAAACATTTCATTATAAAAATTAATTAAAATCAAATTAATGGCAACCGTTAAACAAAGTTCTGTGCAGGTTGCCAGAGGAGGGAGCCAGTCTGGGCCCTGACCAAAGGCCTGGTGGAACAACTCTGAGCTTTCACATGCAGTAAAAGCCCTTCCCAGAAATATAGCGGAACGTCGGGGGAGTCTACTGCTCATTTCTGGGCAACGTGCAGCATGTGCATTTTTGTACGGAGCACTCGAGAACTGCATTACCAAACTCAGAGAAGTGTGGATTTTGAGGGCGGCTGTGTTTCAGTTTCCATGCCATTTTGGGAAGTGTGGGTTCAGTTGATTTGCCTTCTCGATGCAAACTGGGATGAATTTCTCCTCCATGCCTAGCTACGGGTCAACCCCTGCTTGCCCCCACACCCGCCCTTGCTACTGAGATACAGAAGTGTTAACAGCAGCTCTTGACTTGCCTTCTCAGAATCCTGTCATGAAATATAGCCATTCAGACTTTCAGGGGTGGGGGGTGAGGGAAAGAGATGCTCCCTAAGGCATCTGTTGAGATGACAAGATATTAATTTGCCTCAGAAAGGCGATTTGTTATTCATCTCAGATCTGTGGTGTCTCCACAACATGCAAAAAGGTACCGAGAACTGTCAAGCAGACCACACTGGTGACAGCTTAGGGACAAGGGTGCTGGTTCAGCAGCAGCAGGGAAGAGGAAGCTTGTGAGTAAACAGCTGGACCTCAAGTTTAGAGGTGGTATGTCCATACGTTCATTCGTAGGCACTGAGTTTGGCGGGCGGGGAGGTCACAACCCTTCAATATTTCTGATGAAAGGGCAAGGGCCCACCAAAGATCTGTGTTGGCCGCACTTGCACACCTGTCAGGGACTGGGCAGTGGTGGAGGACACTGGAGAGGGGGGTGATGTCAAGGACTGGGCACAGAAGGAGGAATGGTGGAGACCGCCTCCCTACCCTGACCGTTCCAGGGAGGAGGAAGAGGAAGACAGTATAGATTTACAACAGTGTGTTGCAGGAGGTCACAGCTCAGAGGAAGATGAGTGGGGAAAGTTGGGAGATAATGGGAGAGGAGGAGCAGGCAAAGCCGGAAGAGCAGCTGGCTAACACGTTGTATAACGATCTCTGGCAGGCAAGCAGCCTGATAAGCAGCAAGGACTCTCCATCAGTTTTATGTAAGTTTATTTACAAGAAAAACACATCCAGAGCATGGCATTCCGCATGCTCTCATTAACAGTAGTTGCTCAGTCTGATTCATTGTCCCTCCCCCAACAGGAAGAACGGCAAAATTCCACCTTTCTTCTCCTTCCCTTCCGTTGTTCTCTAAGGTTCTCCAGTCTCCTGAACAGCTGGCCTGTCTCTTCCCCAGAAGACACAGCCTCTGACTCTGGCTTATCTGCTGGTTGCCTGGCAACGCTTTGGCCAACTTCCAACTCTTCCTCTCCTTGGGAGTTGATCGTGTCTTCCCTGGGAAGGAGGAGGGCCGGGCTGTCCTCTCTCAACTCTGACAGACAGTTCTCATCTGCAGAGTCAGCCCCTTGCTCGCTCAGGTCAATTTCTGAGGCTGACTCTTCCTGACACCTTGTCATTAGAAAGCACGTTCCTGACACCTTGTCATTAGAAAGCATATCAGACCCACCATCTCCCAGAACCCAGAGAGCCTTAAAAGAAGGAGAGCAAAGAACTCGAAGACAGAGGCCACTTAGCAGCACCCATAGAGGAGATGATGATGATGATGAACAAGGAAGTGGAAGAGACAGGGGGATGGAGATTCACTCGTGACAATGCCATTATCCAAGAGGCTGGCTTCTAGAGCCTCTCTCTGTAATGTTTGAAATAAGAAATGACTGTAAGAAACTTTTCCTTGTCTTTATACTTTCCTGGGCAACCAACCAGGAGCTGCTGACAGCATCCTGACAACACCACAGGGTGTGCTCACGTCATATGCTCAAGCCATGGGACATCCACATGACATGACAGCACCTTCTGCAGCATGTGCAAGTGATGTCAGCACACCGTGGGGCATGCACGCATGGCATGCTGATGTCGTGTGGCCCCGAGCCCCCTCAATCGCAGGGGCAAGGCGGCAGCCCTGCATTCATTTGTAGGAAATGTAGGAAATATGTAGCCGTTCTTCAGAACAGCTGAAGGAAAGATGAGAAGGAAAACTGTGGTTGATATTCATTTATGTATTAATCACCTTCCACCTGAAGGATCTCAAGGCGAACTTGGATCAATACAACAAAACATAGCCAATGAAATCATGTTAGTTTGAAGACATGAAGCAGATCATCCTTCAAAGCCCTTTTGAAGGCCATGACTGATGGGGTCAACAATACATCCCCAAGGAGGGAAATACACCACAAAGAATGCTTAGTTCCCATTAACCAAGTGTGGCCTGCAGTCTAAGTCAGGGGCAAACCCACAAAGGTGCTAGCAGCCCTTCAAATAAGCAGATTGCTCTAGTTGTCTAAAGGTAAAGGTAAAGGGACTCCTGACCATTATGTCCAGTTGTGGTCGAATCTGGGGTTGTGGCGCTCATCTCACTTTATTGGCCGAGGGAGCCGGCATACAGCTTCCGGGTCATGTGGCCAGCATGACTAAGCCGCTTCTGGCGAACCAGAGCGGCTCACGGAAACAGCGTTTACCTTCCCGCCGGAGCGGTACCTATTTATCTACTTGCACTCTGACGTGCTTTCAAACTGCTAGGTTGGCAGGAGCAGGGACCGAGCAACAGGAGCTCACCCCATCGCAGGGATTCAAACCGCTGACCTTCTGATCAGCAAGTCCTAGGCTCTGTGGTTTAACCCACAGCGCCACCCACGTCCACCTGGGTAGACAATCTCATTCTACCATGGCCATTTTGTTATGGATCATGAGACTCCAAGACATTTTGCCACCTAAAGTGAAGGGGAAATGCTTCATTCTACAGTCATACCTTGGTTCTGGAATGCCTTGCAACTTAAACGTTTAGGCTCCCAAACACTGCAAACCCGGACGTGAGTGTTCCGGTTGCAAACGTTTTTTGGAAGCCAAATGTCCGACGTGACTTCTGCAGCTTCTGATTGAGTGTGGGAAGCTCCTGTAGCAAATCAGAAGCGGCGCCTTGGTTTTTGAATGTTTTCGGAAGTCGAATGAACTTCCGGAATGGATTCCGCTCAAGAACCAAGGTACGACTGCATTTCTGTGTACAGAATCTGACAGAACTGGCAGCTGAATTTTATTTCCAACAGTGCTTTTATTCTAAAAAATATGTTTAGGAGTACTCTCATTTTCCTACTCATATTGAAATACTGCCCCTCAATGAGGCCAAACTTAGATTCACGAAATGTTTAGGGGTATGCGTACCCCTGCGTCCCCCCAGAAAAAAATCACTGACTTCAAACAATGGTGGTGGAACAACAATCCTGAGGGCAGGAGGCTAGCTTAGAGGTTTGGGAAAGGGCAACCAAAGTAATCAAGGAGATAAATTATTTCTCACATGCATACTAATATTGATTCTATTCCTCTATCCAAGTCAACGACAGAGGTTTCCTGGAAACCTTTATTGGATGGGCTGAAATTATTGACATCTGAGAATATGGACAATGTACTTGATTCTTTTCATATGCATGCTAGCACCCAGCTTTTCATGGCTGCTTCCAGCAAGATAGGAGAAATTGAGGGCATTAAAAAAAAAACCATAATCCACATCTCATTGAGAGCTGATACAGTTCCATCTGCTCCTGAAGGACATAATGGCAATGTCTTTTGGGGGAGGGGATGGCTTCCTTGTTCACT